TTTAAACTGAAGTGAGGAGCCAGGGAAGACATCAAACAGGGCAGAGACACAGGGTGGGGTGGAGTGTCTCAGTCCTCTGTCTCGTCCCAGCTGGAAGGACTAGATACTAGTTAAGTTTTGCGTCAAGTGAGCTCACATTCCACCCAAAGCAACCCTGACAACACAGCACAGACTTTTTCACGGCCCTTTGATGCCAGAAGTTCTTTCTGCATCCATTTATTGAAGTCTGCTGCTACTTAAAACTGAAATACTTAACACGACCAAGCTGGAGGAATAACTGAAAGAAACAGCACAGCTTGCTTTATGCAAAGTTTATGAGTTTTAATGCCTTTGCCCATAGTTTATTTTTAATTCTAAGGCAGGGGTAGGGCAGAACCCATCCCTACATTTTGCTAAGGGAAGCACAGATCTATCTCACTGCTGCTTTAAAGGAGCCACAGGTCTCATGAAAGCATGACTTAGCCAGGGTTGACACAGGAAGTCATGTGCTCATGAAGGGGGTTCAAACAAAGATGGAATCAGAAGAAACAGAGCAAAAAGAAACTGGCATCTCTTTGACTTCTCTCCCTTCTACACGACCAAGGTTAATGGAGTAGTTTCAGACCACAGCAAACAACCCAAAATGCACTACTTAAACTGTTCCCCAGTTTGCTGCTTCACACAGTGTCACAAACTACTGATGGGGTAAAATCAACTTACTGCACCGATCTGGGGTGAAAGGAAGGTGTGTTGGGCTGCAGATTAGGCCACACTTGTGACACAAGTTCTATTTATTTCCACACAAATCTCCAGGAAACATGCAGAGCAGAGGACAGGCTGATCACTTCCTCCTCCCCCTGGACAGGGATTAGCCCCAGTGGCAGAAGAGTCAGTGTTTGTAGGAGGAACTACTCCAACATCCCAGCAGGATCAGCCTGCCTGTGCTAAGGAACCCCCAGCACCCCAGCAGGACAAGCCTGGCTTGGTTAAGCGACCCTTGTGTCGGTGCTTACCTGTAATAGCGCGACTGCAAGTACGTGGAGCACACGGCCTTGGACACGTGGCTGGCTGACCCAAAGTCTATCACCTTCACTCTGTAGGGCTGGCGGGCAGGATCCACCAACATGATGTTCTCTGGCTTCAGATCAGCGTGGATCAGACCCAGGCTCTTTAGCTTCATCAAGGCAGTGGCCACTTGCTGCAGAATGGGCCGGATGTACTTCAGGGGCAACGGGCTGAACTTGTTTTGCTTTAGGAAATCGTACAAGTTCTGTTCCAGCATCTCAAATACAAGGCAAGTATGATTCTTGTGTTGAAAGCACTCGTAGGAGCGGACAAAGTTGTACTCGTCAGCATTCTCACTGCTCAGGCGGGACAGGATGCTCACCTCGATCTGGCCCTGCCGGGCGTAGGACGGGTGGTTCTTCAGGATTTTGATGGCTACGATCTCCTTCGTGCTGCGTTTCCAGCATTTCGCCACCTGCCCGAACGTCCCCCGCCCCAGGAACTCCAGGACCTCATAGCTGTTTGTCATAGAGCACAGGATCTCATGCTGGACCAGCTGATAATCCCCCTCCCCGCTGGAGCTGCTGCTCTTCGTGGTGACCGTGGTGGTCGTGGCCGCAGCACCCACCGCAGGTCTGTTTTGCAGCATGAGAGGTGGATGTTCCTCAATGATCTGCACGCTACCGTTGCTGTCAACCTCCTCACTTTTCCTTTTTAATCCACATTTTTGGTATGGTTCCAGCAAAGAAACGTTGCTCCTGTGCGAGAGGGTCTGGCTGCTCTGGAAGGACGCGGTGGCGCTGCTGCCGGTGCTGTCGGCCGCGGTGACCACGATGTGCTCGACGGAGGGAGCCGGGAGAAGGAGGTTCTGGTCGTAGGCAGGGATGCTGAAATTGGCTACCTGATGAGAGGAGCTGGCTTGCCCTTGAGCTGCTGGGAGGTTTTTGCTGTGGGTATAATACTTGTCACTACTGCTCTGTCCTGAAACATCCCAGACAGACGGCTCCACTTTCAGTTTCTTGGCACTGCAGAAGGCACTCGAGGATACTGACGGAGGGGAGAACACCTGCAGCTGTGAGGCCATACCTGGAAAGGGAGAGGAGAACTCATTAGGGGCAGCAGGTTGTGATGGGCAAGTTCCTCCGCCTGCACGAAAAGAGGAAGGACAAGCGTTTTCTGAGCACCATATGGTGCCCACCAGCGAGGGAGGCAACCTCGGGAACTGCTGCTCTTAACGGCATCACAGAGCAAGGCACTCCGTTGGAATTACTGCATTTTATAAGCAGAGGGTTCTTTACGTAGCTCTCGAAAGGCTAAAGGAATCCCAGGACTCAACAGGAATCACACAATCAATTAGCTTGGAAAAGACCTCTGAGATCATCGAGTCCAAGCTGCGGCCGATCCCCACTTGTCACCCAGCCCAGGCACTGAGTGCCATGTCCAGTCTTTCCTAAAACACCCTCCGGGGACGGTGTTTCCTAAAACAACCCCCCCTGGACAGCCCGTTCCAATGTCTAATCACCCCTTCTGTGAAGAATTTCTTCCTAATCTCCAAACTAAACCTTCCCCCGCGCCGCTTAAGACAGTGTCCCCTCGTCCTATCGTTTGTTACACGGGAGCAGCGCCCGGCCCCGACCTGGTTACACCCTCCTTCCAGGGAGTTGCAGAGAGCGATAAGATCCCCCCTGACCCTCCCTTTCCCCAGGCTAAAAACCCCCCAGCACCGACAAAAACAATACCGAGGGGCGGGCGAGCGCAGGAAGTGGGAAGACCCTGCTGAAACCAAGATCCCGTCCCCGGGCCTGTTTCCCAGGCACCGCAAAAGCAACACTCGGTGGGAAACCCACCAAACACTCCCCCCCTTTCCCCCCCCCAGGCTGGGCCGTTCCGGGCCCGTTCCCGGCCCCGCCGCCGCCCCGGGCCCTCCCCGGCCCCGCGCAGGGGGAAGGGCGGGCCCGGGCCTGCCCGCCGCGCCGGGCCCCGCCGCCCGCACTCACCGCCGGTGGGGGGTTCTCAGCCGCGGGCCGGACCTGCCAGGGGGACACGCGGGGGTGCGGAGCCCCGCAGCGGGCTCATCATAGCCCCGCCACGGCCGCCGGCCCGGCCCGCTCGGCCCGCGCTCGCCGGGGAGCCCCAGGCCGCTCCGCCGCCGCCGCCGCCAGGCTCCGCCGCGCCCTCACGGCCCGGCCGGGCTCCCCCGCCCGCTCCCGGCCCCGCCGCCCCCGGCCCCGCCGCGCTCCCGCCGCCCCGGCCCCGCGCCCCGCACAGGCCCAGCCAGCCGAGCCCCGAGCGGGCGAGCGCGCACGTGACCGCGGGGCGGGGCCCGCGCAGGAAGCGGCGGGGCCGGAGCGGGGAGGGGACGGGGAATGGGGCAGGGAACACGGAGCGGAGCGGGCACGGGGAACCGCGAGGGGACGGGCTGGGCACGGGCAGCTCCGCCGGGCCGCGTTCTGGGTGTCAGAGGCCCCGCTCGGGGGTGCCCAGCAACGGGACAGGAGGCGGCGGGCACAAAACGGAGGCCCAGGAAGTTCCGCCCGAACAGAATCACAGAATCGGCGAGGTTGGAAAAGACCTCTGAGATCATCAAGTCCAACCTTTGCCCCGGCACCACCTTGTCACCCAGACCATGGCGCTGATGCCACTGTCTCGTCTCAAACCCCTCCAGGGACGGTGACTCCACCACCTCCCTGGGCAGCCCATTCCAGTGTCTGATCGCTCTCTGTGAAGTATTTCTTCCTGATGTCCAACCTAAACCTCCCCTGGTGGTTTCTCAGCCCTTGATGCCCCTTAAATGAGAAGAAACCACAAGTGGGGTAAAGGCCAGTCTGGCTTCTTGGAGGTCAAATGCTTCCAGAGGGATTTAGTCCGGTCAGGTCACCGTTGCCCCCTCAAGGAGCTCAATCTCCAGTGTTTTAATACAGCTTTTTCCAAAGTCAGCGTTACAGAGACAATTTATTTGCTTTCTTGCAAAAGTTTACAAAACTTTTTAAAATAACAATTACAAATGCTCTTACCAAAATTCAGACTGAAAGAAAATAGGTTTAGATGGGATATTGGGAAGAAATGTCTTCCCTGTCAGGGTGGGGAGGCCCTGGCACAGGTTGCCCAGAGAAGCTGTGGCTGCCCCATCCCTGCAAGTGTCCAAGGCCAGCTTGGACGGGGCTTGGAGCAACCTGGGACTAGTGGAAGGTGTCCCTGCCCATGGCAAGGGGTGGAATGGGGTGAGCTTTAAGGTCCCTTTCAACCCAAACCACTCTGGGATTCTGTGAAAATTTCAGAAATTCTCACAGCTTCCTGTTTACATCAACAGCAGCATAACAACTTTGAAGCAGCATCTCATACAATTACCAAGGTGACTCTACCTTTTCAACATGCTCTCCTACCTTTCAGAGGGTTCCATTAAAAAACACAGAGATTTTAGGCTTGAGCTCCATTTAGAGCTCAACACACCATAGAGGAAATGATGTAAACTCATTAATTTTCTGGTGAAGGAAAGATTTCACCATTGCACTTTTTTTTTTTTTTTTTTTTTTTTTAAATCTAGAAAACAAGCCCCTGTGCTGCAGGAAGAGACAGCAGCTCTGCAGCAGGGGAGAGGGAAGTTGTTGGAAGTGCTTTAGCCTTGCATTAGGGGAAGCAGGGTTAGAAACCAGACAGAGAAGTGCTCTGAGGTGTTCCCTGCAAAGTGACGTTACGCTTGTTTGCCACAGAGTGCACGAGCCAGGCAAGTTTTACCTCAGCCTCTTGACAGCAGCCTAAAGAGTAAATTTCTCCTCTCCAGCCCCTTCATGCTTTCCTGTTTTAGAGAAGTCAGAGCCAACTGAAGAGCACTGCTTCACGGTGCCAGTGATTGTCCCTCCACAGGCAGCTCAGCAGACAGCCCTTGCTCCAGAACCATGAGCCTGCCCTCAAAACGTGCCAGCAGATGATCACAGCTCGGTAAAACAGCACAGAAAACTTGCCAAAGGGAACTCAGCTCATTCCTTACTCCCCTGCAAGGCCTTGGCTGAGCTGTTTCACCTCCACTGGGACTTGGTTCCCAACTGTGGGACAGAGATAAGCAGCTCAGTCATGCTCTGTGTGGGTAGATTTGGGAGGACTTTGCTCTGAGTGCTTTCTTTTCCTGTCAGGATACAACTGCAAGTTTCCCAGCGTGTGGCCCTCAGATACCCCACACTGAAGCAAATACTTCTGCTACTTCAGCTTCTTCAGTGACAGCTTCTCACTGTCACTGCTGTGAGCAAAACACACCTGTGGCAGCAGTGCTGCAGCTGAGGTGGGAGCAGCAGGTTCAGGCCCTGGGGTACACGATGCTCCAGATCCCCCAACACTGCCCTGTGAGCCAGGCTGGGGGGCAGGAAAACAGGGAAAACTTGGAGGCAAGAGTGAGGGAGGACAAGGCCTGTAAGAGGCCAGATATTTACTGCCAGGAGACTGCATGGGATCATTTAGGCTGGGAAAATGCAGTCCAACCCAGCTCTGGTGGGTCCACCGCTAAACCCATCTACACGTCTGACTTCAGGGGAATCAGACGGATGCTCAGAAACTTTGCACTTCAGCAATCCCACTTTTCCCCACAAGGCCATGTTTTCAGGATTTGAGAATAACACACAATAGTATTTTAATGCTCCAAGAGACAAGGAAATGCATGGCACTCAAATGCCTCGTGCACCTGCTCTTGGTCCAGTCTCTCCTGCTCCTATTGCCTTTTTAAAGCCACGCAGAGATTTTAGGTTTCCTTGGCATGATTTGGATAATTTCCTTCTCAAGTGGCAGGAATTCCCTTTTCAGCTCTAATAAGGCACCAGCATTTCTTCTGCAGCTTTAACTGAGTGTGCAGAAATGGGGTGCAGATCCCCAGCTTCTGAAGCCTCTGCAGTTTTGGTTTTGAGTGATTGAAGATCAGAGTTACCTCTGTAAAGAATTATCATTTCCAACTCCTTTTTGCCTGAGGGCTGACCAGAAGGTTCTCCACTTCATTTACTTGAATAAATAGTTGATAAGAATAAAAGAGGAAAGGCTGGATGCCACAAAACATCAGCAGTGAAATGCATCAGATCTCCCAGGTCATTTGCAACATGCCCTAATGGAGCAGTGACTCAGAAGGTGAGCATTCCTCCTGAGCAGTGGAGAGGCTGCAGGGAGCAGGACCTGCAATCTGGGAGTTCTGGGCAGTGCTTCACTCCCCTGCCTGTCAAATGAGTCACTTAAATTTCAACAGCGTTTAAATAACAGCCTGCATCTCCCAGGCAGCAGCAGCAGACAGCACAGGACAAGCACAGCACCGTCATTTCCACGTTACAAAAGGTGCAGGTGTCTCCACTTCACACTCACCTGACAGAGCTCTGCAGCTGAGTCTGGGTTAGCAAATAATCCATACAGAAACCTCCAAGAAAAGCAGGACACACAGGCCACAGCAGGAAGCTCGAGCTGCCCTTGCTACCCGGTGTGAAGTGCATTTCACAAGACACTGCTCTGTCACTTCCCTTGGGAAGGGAAGGCAGAGCCCCAGGAGGCCCAGGGACAGGCACTCCTTATTTAACAGGGATAAAGGCTGCCGTGCCTGGGAACACGCAGGGTTGGGAGCCAGGATTCGTGTTTGCCAAACAACTTTCCAAACATACCCACTCCGGCTGTCAACACCCTCACTGTTCCTGACAGCCCTGTTTGTGACAGGTGTGACGGCTGCATCTACAGCCACCTTTGCCTTTCACAAGCCCTGGCTTCGCTCCAAGGGCAAAGGCTTCCTTTTCTGGCTCACTTCAGGGAATTCAATCCATCTGGCTGCCTGCTCTTGGACAGACCTCCCAGGACACCACGTTCAGAAGTCTCTGATCCTCCTCACGATCACGTGAAACGTTTCGCCTTGGAAGTAACAAAAGGAGGCTGGAGAGAGCTGAGGAACGAGCTGAGGAACGAGCTGGTGTGCAGCTCCAGGAAAGTGCCCAGTGACCATTTCCACTCCAGTGTTGCTGCCCTGACCATACAGAGTCAGTTTGTAATGCTGGCAGTGCAGTTTGCCACAGACAACTCCGGTGTTCCAGGCTCTGCAGTGGGTGCCTGATGACTTATCACACCACTGACACTTCCCAGGGGGCTCTGCAGTTGATCTGGAGTGGGAAAGTGCCCGACCTCTAAGAGCCAGTTTTGTTGTTCAGTCAGTCTCTTTCCAAACAACGCTGCTAAGACTGATCACTTCACACCACTAAGCAGATGTTTCACTGTCTTCCATTCCATTTGCCACTGCGTGACAAGAGCAGGCAGCGGGTGGGAAGGCAGAATGTTGGCAGTTATCAAAAGTTCTTTGCAGTCAAGCAGAATTCAGATGTGCAGAGACTGCAGAGGATATAGTGACCCACTCTACAACTCAAAAGCCCAGACAGTTCCTACTTTTCTCAGCCAAAAACCTGAAAAAGCACTGACAGTTAACATTGGGATGGTGCTTTCAGGAGAGCAGAACTACAGCCAGCTGCAGTTGGCTGGATGGATGCAAAAGCTGGAAGTATTAGTAGATTAACAGATAAAAAACATTATTAAAACTTACAGGCACTTCATTTCCTAGATTTAAGCAGCATTTTTAAAAGTGTATCTTAACACAGAACGTTTAAAATGCACCTTGGAATGAACCACTCACAGTCAGTGAGGCACCACATACATGTAAGAAGAAGAATTTTTGGGGGTCTCAAGACTCCCCCTCCTTGCTTCTTTTATCACATTCCAAACATTAATAACTTCAGCTGAAGGCAGCTCTCACCCTCTGCAGTGCTGCTTGAATCCACTGGCAGCGTCTTTTGTCAGAGGGGACAGGTGAGTCACTGCAAAAGGTGGACACGAGGCACACAAGCAGTGGGACTGCACTGCCCCCTGGACTGGAGACTCAGCAGATGCAGAAAGATTTAAAAAAAACCCAACCTGGTTCTAGTTTCCTCTTTGTCCTCTGTTAAGAGTTAAACAAAGTAGAGCCCCGTAGCTGAGCTTCTCTCTCCTGATAGGAAACCTGAGCAAGGAGAGCAGGATGAATCACTGCTATTGGCACCAGTGTCACACAATTTGTCAGGGCACTTCTCCCCTCCTAAAAAAGTCTTGTACCAGCTTGTCAAACGTCCGTGAGGAATTCTGCTTTAGGACATTTAAGGGAGTGAGTAAATACTGCTCTGCAAATCCAGATGGAAAGTGCTCCTTGGAAACAGGTGCCTGGCTAACAGCAGTGGCTGCTCCTGCTGCTCTCGACTGCTCCCCACTCAGCTTTCCCTTCCCTTTTTCCTCATCCCTGTGACAAGTGCAGCCTTCTTTCGAGCAGAAAGCTGGCTCACAGTGGTGCTGCTGAGGAACCTCAGCACCTGTAAATGTTTCGGGTTTCTCAGTGTATTTCTCTGGGGACTCAAAAACAACCCCTTGGGGCACAGAATGCCGTGCAGCTCTTTTCCAAAGACATGTGGGGTCCTGCCCCCTCCTTTGGCTTTGCTGCTGCACCGACTCTGGCAAAGGCTTTGGGACTGTGAAGTCAGGAAGTACTTGGGGGGCAGAGCTCAGGTATTCCTGAAAGTAAACCTGGCACATGTTGCCCTTCACGATGGGAATGACTGAGCAAGGTTTCAGCCACTTCACAAACTCGCACAGCTCCGAAAAGGACGAGTGATCCGAGTATGGGACGAGGTGGATCTTGGGGTGGGTGATCTTCACGGGCCTGCCCGTGGGGAGGATGGCAATGGTGGGGTGCAGTGAGTTCCAGGTGACCAGGGTATCGCAGCGGATCTCGGCGACGTCCACGGCGCGGATCCACCCGGCGCCCTCCTCGGCGGTGAACACGTCCGGCAGCTCCAGCAGCCGCATCTGCTCCAGGCGCCAGGGACTCACCACCACCCAGGTGCTGAACTCCACGGCCAGGTCCACCAGCAGCGCCTCCTTGCCCAGGGTGTACACACCTGCCGGGGCAGCCGGGTGTGGGACAGGGTGGAGAGGAACAGGAGCCCTGCCGGGGGGGCTCCACCAAACCACCCCCTCCAGAGGTGGTTAGCAGGTGTCTCCAGCTAATCCGGGTAACTTAAACCTTGAAAGCTGGCGGGGTGGGGAGGCGGCACTCACCGATGACGACGTGGTGGTGCGGGTGGGCGCGGATGAGGCGGGCGGCCTGGCGCGTGGCCAGCTGGCGCGAGGGCAGCTCCCGCTGCGGGTGGCAGTGCGTGTTGTCCAGGTACAGCCGGTCGATGCGGCGGCCCCTCAGCAGCGGCTCCCCCTGCATGGAGCTCGTGTAGCGGAAATCTCCTGCGAGAGGCAAAGCTGTCGGGATCTGCCCAGGGAGGGGCGTGGAGCCTCCTTCAGCACAGGTGTCTCAGAACCGTCTGGTCACAGTTCTGCGCCATGTGCTGGGGGGTGACCAGATGACCCACTGTGGTCCCCTCCATGCTGTGGTTCTGTGATGGTGGGGACCCTGCCCTGTACCTGTGTAGAGGATGGTGCCAAAGGCGCCCTCGAAGAGGAACATGACGGAGCCGGGGCAGTGGTTGGAGTCGAGCAGCGTCACCGTCACCTCGTCCAGCACGTGGCTCTGCCCCACTTCCAGGGGCCGGATCCAGCATGTTGGCACCTACAGGGACCAGGTGCAGAGGGCAGGGCAGCGGATGAGGGTTGGGCAGGGCAGGGCAGGGCAGGTGGGGCAATGGGAGCACCCAGGTGATGAGGGCAGGGCCAGACAGGTGGGGCAGTGGGGGGTACCTGGGTGATGAAGGCTGGGTGGGACAGGTGGGCGATGAAGGTGCCCAGGTGAGGAGGGCGAGGCCAGACAGGTGAGGAGGCAGGGATGCCCAGGTGATGAAGGCAGGGCAGGGCAGGGCAGGTGGGGCGATGGGGGTGCCCAGGTGATGATGGCCGGGCCGGGCCATACCTACCCGTAGGCGGCTGTGCAGGAGGCGGGCGGTGATCGGGGAGCAGTACAGCGGGCGGCTCCAGGTGCTGGACAGCCCCACCGTGTGGTCCGCGTGCATGTGGGACAGGAAGAAGAGGCGGGCGCCGGCCGCCCTGCGGAGGCTCCAGAAGTCGACGGCGATGGGGGTCCCGGCCAGCACCGTCCCGCTCATGGCGGGCGGGACCCGCAGCCCTCACGGCGAATTTGGCGGGAAGCGCCGCGCATGCGCGGGAGGCGCGGGGAGTGGGGGGCGGGCCGAGCGTCAGGGGCGGGGCGGGGTCGCGTGCGGGAGGGTCACGTGGGCGGGGCAGGGGACCGGGACCGGGACCGGGATTGGGATCGGGATTGGGACCGAGACCTGGGACTGATACTGGGATTGAGACCGGGACCGGGACCTGGGACTGATACTGGGATTGAGACCGGGACTGGGACCTGGGACTGGGACTGGGACCAGGACCTGGGACTGGGACCGGGACTGGGTCTGGGACTGGGACCGGGACCTGGGACTGGCATCGGGACCGAGACTGGCACTGGGATCAGGACCGGGACTGGGATCGGAACCGCGATCGGTTCCAGGACTTGGGCCTAGGACTAGGACTGGGACTGGGACCAGGGACTGCGACTGGGACCGGGACCTGGGAGTGGGTCTGCGACCAGGACTAGGATCGAGACCTGCACCTGGGCCTGGGCCTAGGACCGGGATCGGGGTCGGACCCGGGGCCGTAGCGGGGCTGGCCGCCGCCCTGCCCGGGGCCGGGCCGTGCCGGGGCCATGCCGTACCTGGGCGGTGAGGAGGCGCTGCGGGAGCTGCGCCGGGCCCTGTCCAACCCGCACGTGCAGGCGGACCCGGTGCGGTACCGCGCCGCCGTCCTGCGGGTCATCCGGTACGGCGGGGGCTGGGGGGGGACACCCGCACCGCGGGCACCCGCACCCGGCCCGGCCCGACCCGCGTGTGCCCCGCAGGCTGATGGCGCAGGGCGCCGACGTGTCGGGCGTGTTCCCGGAGATGGTGAAGGCGGGCGCGGTGCCGGACGTGGTGCAGAAGAAGCTCGTGTCGCTCTACGTGCGGGCACAGGCCCCGCGGCAGCCGCAGCTGGCGCTGCTCGCCGTCAACTCCCTGCGCAAGGACTGCGCCCACCCCAGCCCGGCCGTGCGGGGGCTCGCCCTGCGCACCATGTGCGGCCTCAGGTGCGGCGAGGAGGCCGGGGTGGTGGCCCTGGGCCTGGGGATGGTGGTCCTGGGGCTGGAAGTAGTGGCCCTGGGGCTGGAAGTGGTGCTCATGGGCTAGGGGTGGTGGCCCTGGGGCTGGGGGGGTGGTCCTGGGTTTGGGGATGGTGGCCATGGGGCTGGGGGTGGGTGGGGCTGGGGCTGGATGTGGTGGCCATGGGGCTGGGAGTCGTGGTGATGGGGCTGGGGGTGGTGGTCCTGGGGCTGGAAGTGGTGGCCCCCGGGGCTGGGGGGAGTGGCCCCGGGCCTGGAGGGGGTGGTCCTGGGGGTGGTGGTCCTGGGGCTGGGGGTTGTGGTCCTGGGGCTGGGGGTGGTGGTCCTGGGAGTGGTGATCCTGGTGCTGGGGGTGGTGGTCCTGGGGCTGGGGGTTGGTCCTGGGGCTGGGGACATGCAGTGCTGAGAGCACATTCGGGCCTTAGGGCTGTGTTGGGCTCGCTGTGCTGCCTCTGGGTTGTCACGGCAGCAGGGCAGAGAGAAGGGGAAGGCTCTGGTCCCCCCCTTGACCTGCCCTCCCGCAGGATGCCCGGGATCCAGGAGTACCTGCAGCAGCCCCTCGTGAACGGGCTGCGGGACAAGGCGTCCTACGTGCGCAGAGCGGCCGTGCTGGGCTGTGCCAAGATGGTGAAGCTGCAGGGGGACGGCGAAGTGGGTAAGGGGCTCTCAGGGGCTGTGCTCCTGGGCTCAGGGAGGTGGTTCTGGGGCTCAGGGTGGTGGTTCTGGGGCTGGGGACGCACTGAGAGCTCATTCAGGCCTTAGGGCTGTGTTGGGCTTGCTGTGCTGCCTCTGGGTTGTTGTGGCTGTGGGGTAGAGAGAGGGGAAGTGGAGGGGAATTAAAGGCTGAGAGAGCTGGGGTTGTTCACCCTGGAGAAGAGAAAGTTCCACAGAGACCTTTGAACTCCTTCCAGTGCTTAAAGGGGCTCCAGCAGAGCTGGAGAGGGACTTGGGACAAAGAATGGAGTGACAGGAGAGGGTGGAATGGCTTCCCATTGACAAGGGCAGGGTTAGATGGGATATTGGGAAGAAATCCTTCCCTGTGAGGGTGGGGAGGCCCTGGCACAGCTTGCCCAGAGAAGCTGTGGCTGCCCCATCCCTGGAAGTGTCCAAGGCCAAGTTGGACAGGGCTTGGAGCAACCAGGGCTAGTGGAAGGTGTCCCTGCCCATGGCAGGGGTTGGAATGAGATGAGCTTTAAGGTCCCTTCCAACCCAGACCATTCCATGATTCTGTGGTCTGTGTTTATCAGACTGTTAACGATGCAGTGCCCCTTCCCTCCCTGCTCTTCCAGGGCCTCCCACAGCACACAACCATCCCTGAAGTCTCTGATCAGCCAGGTGCCATTCTCATTCCCACAAATATTCAGGGAAAAGCTGTGCCAAGGGCAGTTGTTACTGTAGAGCTGGAAGTTTTGGTGGCTCCTTCTCCCAGTTCAAGCCATATCTTCTGGTTTTGATAAATACTTGTAGACAGTGATTAAAGTGCAGTGTGCCAGCAGAATTTGATAGCAGGAGCTCTGCTCCTTTGCAGATGGTGCACTGGTGAACGAGCTCTACAGTTTGCTTCGTGACCAGGATCCTATTGTGGTCGTGAACTGTCTGAGGGCCTTGGAAGAGATCTTGAAGAAGGAGGGAGGAGTTGTCATCAACAAACCCATTGCCCATCATCTCCTCAACAGGTTTGTTGTCTTTGATACTGAGGAGGTGCTGGAACCTTCATTCTTGTTCTTGTGTTTTCTATGCAGAGAGGGAGTTTCTAGAGAGGACTTGAAGGGACTCTTGTCAGGCACCCAAAGATGGAGGTGCCCATCCTAACATCAACTAAATCACTTTTAGGCTAAAGTCTTAAGAGTAATCTGGGATGCCCTGCTTTTCCAGGGAGTCTTTGCTTCAGCTGGTAGTTTGTTTTGGAACTATAGGTTAATGTGATTAATTTTTTAGTGATAGCACACATGATATATTTGTAAACAGGTCTGTTTCTAGTATGTTGAAAAATACATAACTTATCCATTACTCGAAGAAATGAGATTATCTGCAGATGATTCTGCATGAACTGTGAAAAGAGGGGTATTGCTCTGCCCAAGGTTCTTGTCAGTGTTCCTGTCTGGCCTAAATACCAGTAAGAGTGCACATGACTGATCCTGAGTTAATAACTGGGCAATTCCCTTGAGATAAAAGTGTGGTCCCCCCTTGGTTTGGAACAGAGACCATAAGAAACTCCGAGGCTGAGGCCTCTGCTCTGCACAGCCCACAGATCCTCGTGCACTCCCTGACTCCTGCCCGCTGTGTTTGTTGTCCTGGCAGGATGCCCGACCTGGATCAGTGGGGGCAGAGCGAGGTGCTCACCTTCCTGCTGCGCTACAAACCCCGCAGCGAGGAGGAGCTCTTCGACATCCTCAACCTGCTGGACGGTTACCTCAAGAGCAGCAGCCCCAGCGTGGTGATGGCAGCCACCAAGCTCTTCCTGGTGCTGGCCTGGGAGTACCCAGATGTGCAGGCAGATGTCCTGGTGCGGGTGAAGGGCCCTCTGCTGTCTGCCTGCACCTCGGAGAGCAGGGAGCTCTGCTTCACCGCGCTGTGCCACGTGCGCCAGATCCTGGCGAGCCTGCCCGGCCACTTCAGCAGCCACTACAAAAAGTTCTTCTGCTCATACTCTGAGCCCCACTACATCAAGTGCCAGAAGATGGAGGTGTTGTGTGAGCTGGTGAACGACGAGAACGTGCAGCAGGTGCTGGAGGAGCTGAAGGGTTACTGCACGGACGTGTCGGTGGAGCTCGCCCAAGGGGCCATCTTCGCCATAGGTGAGAGCTGGGCCTCGCCTGCACCTTCCAGGTGGGCTGTTCTCTGCTGAGCTGTGTCTGGGCAAGCACCCAATCGCTGGTCTGTGCTGCTTGTTCTGTGAGCTGTGGTGGGGGCGGAGTTAAGGGGATGGGGGCTGCTTTGGTTTTATTTTTGTAAGCTTTAAAATAGGTGTTTTTACAGCATTCCCAAGGGTAAAGCTGGGGATGCTAAAATGCTTTTCTTAATGTATTACATTTAAGGAAAGTTCAGAAATCTTCTAAGGCATGGCCTCCAAAAAAAGGAACATGTCCGTTGTGTGGAGAACAAGCTCATTTGACCACGCTTTCCTGAGTGGTAGTCAGAAAGGAAAAGAGAGAGACTGGTTCTTTAAAATGGGTTTGTGATGAATAGTTGGGCTCCTGGTTCCCATTTCACTCTGATAAAAGGTTGACTTATATGTCTTTTTGGCATCCTTGCAGGCAATATTGCCAGGACTTACACAGAGCAGTGTGTGGGGATCCTGACAGAGCTCCTGGGCCTTCAGCAGGAGCACATCACTTCAGGTAACCATCTGCAGGCTGCTTTACCTGGCTTGTGCCTTCAGGAAGTGGCCTTGCTGGGGCTTGTGATCCCAAAATCAAGGCTCTCGAAGGCATTTGGCTTTTAATTTATTGGCACCTTCATGTGGAAGTTTTCCTGGTGGGTTTAGGGGTACTGAGTGTGTTCCTTCCAGAGGAACTGCTCTTTGTGGGGAAGGAGGAGGTGGCTGTAGCTGTGTTCTTGGTCCTTTCTGGCTGCCACCTGCTGAATTAGGGAGTGAGTGACTCAGCAGAGACATTTTAGTGTCTGTTTGAGGGCCAAGATGATTAATAGACCTTTTAAATCTCTGTGATTCCTGTTCCTCATGTAATAGTCTGATTCAATTGTACCCAGGCTTCTTTTTTTCTTCTGCTGCCCTCAGATCTACCTTCACTTCAACTGCTGCTCCTGCTGTTCTCTTTTAACTGGTCTGCTCTCAGTTTAAAAACCACACACTTGCCCTCAGCTGTTGAATACATCTCAGGAGCTGCTGGTGTTTCTGAGTGGGCAGCAGAAACCTTTAAAATTTGTGACCTAAAGTTCACGAGACTCGTTTTGAATTGGGGTTGGTTTTAATTTGTCATTCCAACCTCGTGCCTCTGAAGCATCGTGAGTCAGTGCCCTTTTAAAGGCTGGCAATGTCCAGAAGAGAGATTGCTTTCCAGCAGCCAGAGGAACAATCTGAAGTCTCAGTGCTTTATTTCAGACTTGATGCAGCTTTGCTCTGACAAACACAGTGTCATGGGACTTGGAAGGAGGGTGTCTCAAATCAGAGTCACAGGCAGGGCACTGACCTTCCTGGCTAAGATTTGCAGAATCTCTTGAGTGTGGGGGGGGTTGGATTGATTTTTATTTTTTTTCCCCCCTCTAGTGGTTTTTGTGACTCTTGGGGATGCTGATAACTCGCTTTCCTTGCAGCGGTGGTCCGGGCTTTCCGGGACCTGGCTTGGCTGTGCCCCCAGTGCACGGATGCCGTGTGCCAGGCACTGCCTGGCTGTGAGGACACCATCCAGGACAGCGAGGTGAGGTGCCGGTGCCTGAGGATGAGTTGAACAGTAACTGTCTGGTAAAAACCAGAAATCTTCAGCCACGCTCTCTCAACCTCTTTGTTTCGTGCCAGCACCACCTTCCTGGCACACAGCACCCATTTGCTGTTTTGTTTTCTGTGGTTCCCTCAGGGCAAGCAAGCGCTGATCTGGCTCCTGGGCACGCACGGGGAGAAGGTCCCCAATGCTCCCTATGTTTTGGAGGACTTTGTGGAGAATGTGAAGTCGGAGACGTTCCCAGCAGTGAAGATGGAGCTCCTGACAGCGCTGGTGCGGCTGTTCCTGTCCCGGCCTGCCGAGTGCCAGGACATGCTGGGCAGGCTGCTCTACTACTGCATAGGTGGGTTCCCTGCCTTCTGTTCCACTCAGGCTGTGGGACAGGGGTTTTGGGACCTGTCCCCAGTGCAGGGATGCTGTGTCAGCATCCTGGCTCTGAGGAGACCATCCAGGACAGCAGGGTAAGGTGGCTTTATGCCTTAGGCTGCATAAAATCCCAGAATGGTTTGGGTTGGAAGGGACCTTAAAGCTCATCCAGTCCCACCCCATGCCATGGGCAGGGACACCTTCCACCAGCCCAGGGTGCTCCAAGCCCCGTTCAAGCTGGCCTTGGACACTTCCAGGGATGGGGCAGCCACAGCTTCTCTGGGCAACCTGTGCCAGGGCCTGCACCACCCCCTGAGTAAAGAATTTCTTCCCAATATCCCTCCTAACTCTGCCCTCTTGTCACTTAAAAACCATTCCCCCTTGTCCTGTTGCTGTCTGCCCGTGGACAGGCTTACACTGTATCCCTGAAAATCTGTTTGTAGTAATCAAGGGTTAGTCCTCTGGGGAAATCTGGGTGATAGAATTATCCATAATTTCCGTCTCTCTGATCCCCAGAGGAGGAGATGGACATGGCAGTGCGAGACCGAGGGCTGTTCTACTATCGCCTTCTGCAGTCTGGGGTGGAAGAAGTGAAACGGGTCCTGTGTAGCCCCAAATCTGACCCTTCTCTGGGGCTCCTGGGGAACCAAACCAAGCAACCTGTGAATGATTGGGCTTGGGAGTTTAACACTCTCATCCCAGTTTATGGCAGAGAACGCTGGGCACTCGCCACTGCTCACCAGCCTGTGGAACCCTCCTACTTTGGCCCTCCTTCCACTGACTCCAGGAGCAGGGACACAGGTAACCTGCCCCACCTTCCTCTGGGATCCATCTTCCCCTTGGCAGTAGATCACAGAGTCATGGAAACACAGGATGGTTTGGGTGGGAAGGGACCTTAAAGCCCATCTTATTCCACCCCGTGCCATGGGCAGGGACACCTTCCACTGTCCCGGGTTGCTCCAAGCCCCGTCCAGCCTGGCCTTTGTGGATCTGTGAGCTGCACCTCACATGTTTGTGGTTTCCTTTCAGAGTCACTGATTTCTGAGGGGAATAAAGAAGTCCTCAAGGTTCAGCCTGACACAGGCAGCCTGAGCCTCGTTCCTGATGCTTCCCTGACTGCAGAACAGTTTGAGAAGACCTGGCTGAGCTTGGACACGAGCTGCCACCTCTCCCTGCCCTGGAGTGGGCCTGTCCCTCCAGACACCATTCAGACAGCCCTTCACGTTGTCCACATCCAGACTATTGCCATGAGCAAAGTGGGTGCCCAGCCCTGGAAAGCTTACCTGAGTGCTCAGGACGACACAGGCTGCCTCTTCCTGACGGAGCTCCTGCTCCAGGCGGCGGATTCGGAGCTGCAGGTGTCTGTGAAGCAGAGTGAGGCAAAGCCAGAGGCACTGCAGAGCTTCGTCTCGGCCTTGAGGACAGTCCTGGAGGCAGTGGCTGGACTGGGCTCCTGACTGGTCCCTGCTCCCAGCAGGATGCCTGCTCAGGGCACAGCAAAATTTGATTTCTCTGGCTTCCTTTGCCATACCTGATGCTGGTGTGGTACTTTTAAACTGCAGGAGTGTTGGCAGCCCTTTTTCTGGGCCTATGTGTGGCGTGGGGGGAGCTGCAGCTGGAGCTGGAGAAGGGTCTGCCCTCCCCCTGGGCTGGGGAAGGGGCAGGGTCATTCTGGAGGGAGCCACACAACTCATCAGTGGTGATTGCCATGAGACACCAATGTCACTGGTGGGACCAGAACTGGGCAGAGTTCAGGGTTGTGTTTTGGAGAGGATTTTTCCTGAGAATTATAAATAATTTAAAAACCAGTTCAGAGACACCAGGACTCTGCTACTTAGCTGACATTAAGAGGAACAGTGCAATAAAGAGAGGAGTGTTTTATTCTTGGCTCCCTTCGCATGTGATTCAGTTTTCTGTCTGATAGAAGGATTTTGAGGGGTGAACAGAGCTCTGCTGTGTCAGAGGTGGGTAGACAGGGTACATCCAGCTCGCTAGAACCAGCATGTTTCACCTGCAAGAGAAAGAAGTTGAAATGTGTTACTGAGGTCATGAATTGCCCTCTCTGAAGTTCCCCCTCAGCTCCCTGTGCTGTTGCCATACTGAAGAGACTCCTTGGCACCAGGGTGATCCACAGGTAACTCTGACAGGGCTTTGTGCTACTCTGTAATGAGCACTGGCTTCTTTAACCCTGCTCTGCAAGATTTCTTGCAATTCTGAATTTCTTTTGTGACTGTTGTACCTTCAAATCACAGTATGCCTTCCATGCACTTCACTGGAACGCTGCTCTCACTGTTAAACAGCAGGTTTTAGAATTTAATTCTGATTTTCCTAATAAAAATACGAACCATTTCTTGGCTGAGTTCTGGAGTATTTGTTCCTTCAGCTCAGATGTGCAGGATGGAGTCACTTGATCACTGCTGTGGATCCACACAGAACTGCAGTCCAGCTCCTGCCTCTGTGTCCAGCAGGACTTTTCTCTCTGAACTTCCTTGAAGCAAAGCTTTGAGGAGCAATTGGGCAATAATTAATTTCAGTCTCGTTTGCCAAATTACTGTAACGGGTGAACTACCTCTGGGTGAACTCAAAGGGAGATCAAAGTCAGCTGCAGCAGAGCTCTGTTAACTGTTCCCACAGTGTTGTGTCCCTGTCCTCAGGGAGAGCTGCACTGGAGCATTGGAATTGTGCAGTTTTCAGCAAAAAACTAGGTGATAACTTGTTGCCAATCCATCATTTACCCTGCTCTGACTAGACCAGCTCTGGGAAGGGACTTGGAGCTTCCAGCCTTTCCTCCGGACCCCTTGATGAAGGAACAGGTGCCTTCCCAAACCCAAACCATTCTATGGGATCTGTGTGCTGTATGTCCATCAGGACTCCTGCCTCCTCCTGGAAACTGCTTTCCTGTTCGCTCAAGGCAAACCCTGTTTATGACTCTAAGCTAAAAGGGGAACTGTGGATTTTCCATGCTGGTTTAGAGACTCTTCCAGTCCCAGCACATTCCAAGTTCGAAGCCTTTGCAGCGAAGCGCAGCCCCCCCAGGATGTGGGTGCTGTGCAGCTGCCCCCTGTGCTCACCCTGGACCCCTGGCAGGGATGGCTGGACATGGTGCTGAAGGGATTGGGATGATGGGGTGCTCAGAGGGGTCTCCAAGGTGTGGCCACCTCTGTGGCACAGAGCACCCCCCTCTCTGTGCCCGCCCTGCTGCGAGACCCCACGGCAAGCATTTGTGTGGTTTTAAAAGAGGGCGCCAGGGCCCCGGGCTGGGTGTTTTGTTGTGTTATTTGCCCAGGGTATCTGCTACGTACTAATTTCCTCTGGGGCTGGTGATGAAGTCAGTAAACCACAGCCCGTGCTGAGCTCCCGGCCGGTGCCTCCCGCTGCGCACGCACTTGACATGTCCCTTCCCAGCAGGGCCAGGCCAGGCACGCTCCGTCCCCGGCACCATGGACCAAAGGGAGATCCTGCTGCAGAACCTGGAGAGGGCCCAAGGCAAGAAGCTCAACCGAGGGGAGTTTGCAGAGGAGTTTTTGGTAAGTTCTCTCGGGGCTCCGCTCCTTTTGAAGGGAACCGCTCAGCCACGGGGACAAGATCCGCGTGTGACACTAAGATTATCTGGGGGTTTTACAACAAAAAGTCACCCAGGAGTTAACTGGGCTAAAAGGAATGTAAAGACAGGAGAGGAATTTAATAGTTTTGACATTTGAACTGTTTGCTTTTTAACTAATTACCCGAGTGCTTCCTGTTTTCTGCTTTGCGAGTGCACTTGTCAAGGCACAGTTTCACTTTGCCTGGTAACAGGACGGGGGTACAGGGAGGAATATGGAGCCTCTGCCCCTTCTCCCCATTGCAGTCTGTTGGACCTGTGACACGTGTGTTCCTGCCAGGGATCCCCAAAGCTCCTTGAATTAGCTTTCCCTTTTTTCGATAGAGCACAGGTTGGCTAGAGCAGCTGTGATGTTCAGGGACTGGACATGTACAAGGCCAGGCTGGACGGGGCTTGGAGCAACCTGGGCTAGTGGAAGGTGTCCCTGTCCATGGCAGGAGGGTGGAACAAGATGATCCTTAAGGTCCCTTCCAACCCAGACCATTTTATGACCTGGGATCTCTGGGATGTATGTCCAGCAGTGCTCCTGGCCCCTCCTGGAAACTATTTCTTGTTCCCTCAAAGCAAAATCTGTGAAAAGTGCTGATGGCTCCCACCACCCCCTGCATTCTGCAGTGCCCAGTTCAGATCTGTGCAGTGCCCTGAATTTGTGAGCTCTCTGACATCTTTTTATTTGTTGGGGTGCCAGGGGTGAGGCTCAGATGGCAATGCACCATCTCAGAGTTAAACCTGGTGGCTGGTGATGGCTCTTGGTGTGTCAGCTGGAGGCAGGCGGCTCTGGCAGGCTCTCTGGGCTGCTCTGAGAGGCAACAACGTTGCCCAGCTTTAACAGACATAGGGAAGGGTAAAGCTGGTACCTCTGTGAGACCTGAGGCAGGTCAAACACCACATGAAGCCCTGGCTGTGGCACTGGGCTCCAGGAAGGCACAGGGGTTACCGATGGGTCCCCACGAGATCCAGCCCTGCTTTGTTGTACCAGCCAAGTCTGGCACTTCAAACACTTGGGAAAAGCTGAGTGCTTGGTTTCCAGGTGTCTGGGGTAGAGGGAAGTGATTAATCTGAGCCTGCAGTGACAGTCTGTTGTTCCATGGAACAAAGCGCTGTCACAGGCTGCTGAATTTCCCCTCTCGCTGACAGGCTGTGCTTTGTGTGTGAGGCAGCAAGCTCTGAGCCCTGGTGCACAGGCTGGCTCCAGCAGCCAAATGTATTCATTTCTGACCAAAATGGCATGTAGAAGTGGTCAAGGCTGCATTTCCTCTTGCATGGGATAAGATCTTCCCAGCGTGACCCGAGTTGCTGCCACTTTTGCAAGGCAGAACTGCCTTTCCAGGCAATCATGTTGGCTTGTGTCTCCAAACCAGATAGAAATGTTCAGTGCCATTTCTCCATCCTAATTCCTGCCCTCTCCTTGTGTGACCAAGCATTTATACGTGCCAGTTGTGGTGGTGTTACTGTAAATTGCTGTTTGAGTCCCCTTTTCCTGTCTGTGCAGTTTGATCCTTACTCCTCTACACACACTGGAACAGTTTCCCCAGGGCAGTGGTCAGGGCCTCAAGGCTGGCAGAGCTGAAGGAACATTTGGGCAGCACTCTCAGGCACAGAGTGGGATTTTGGGGTGTCCTGTGCAAGGCCAGGAGTTGGCCTTGATGATCCCTGTGAGTCCCTTGGAAATTGGGACATTCTGTGATTCCATGATTCTGGGATTCTCACTTGTTTTCCCATATTGTAGGCATTTCCCATGATGGTTTTATGTCATCAGATTATTCAGGGATGGAAAAGTAAGATAATTCAGTGCCTCAGCTCTGGGAACCCCATGCTCTTAATTAATAGGGTCTGGACACGTGGACTGTCCTGGGCCTCCTGTACCTTCTCCCTGACTCATTCCATCAGGTTTGTGAGATGTGACTCCTGGGGTATTATGGCTGAATTCAGTGTTTTAAAACTGCTGTTTGATGTTAAAAACCAGCAACTCTGACTTGGACAAAAATGATGAAAGAAAAAATACAGCAAGGATGGTGCTTCTGAAGTCGATGGCAACAAACAGTGTGTGTTATTTAGAAGCTGATGGCAGTGAAATAAAATTCCATCATTTGTCAGGGGAAAGATGCTTCAACTCTCTGTGAGTGCTTTATCCTGGAGATGAGAGAGATGAGAGATTTGTCTGTCCCAGGACTCCTTCTCCCCTCTCTTTCCTCAGCCCATGTAGCTGCTCTGCTCTGATTGCTTGTGCTCCCTCGGTGTTTGCAGCCATGGACTGGAGCATCTTTACCACAGTGAGAAAAATCAACCAATTCATCTGTCTTTTCTGATAGCATTTGTTCAAGGTGGTTCACCAGAGTCACTCCTCTTATCTGGGTGCTCTTGTACTGCAAGTAATTCCCCCGTGTCTCACTTGTGACGCTTTGTGTCACTTCAGGAGGAGCCGACGTGTGGGCACTGCCTCAGCACACACTTTCCATTCTTCAGAAGCCTGTGCTGGGGCTCTCAGGGGGTTCTGGCTCTGTTCTTGCTCTGAGAAAAGCCACTCAGGAAAGAATTAATGGTGCTGACCTTGCTTTGTGGCAGCAAACCTGACCCCTGGAGACCTTCACACGTGCTCTCCGGCAGCGTGCTGGATGTAACACCTCTGCTGTAATTTGTTCCGTTCTTTTATCACAGAAGCTGAAAAGGCAGACAACAAAGTACAAGCTGGATAAAATCTACCCTACAGCAGCAGCTGAGCAACCAGAGAATGTCAAGAAGAACAGATACAAGGACATCTTACCTTGTAGGTTGGAAATGGCACGTGTTTCTATTCAGCCTTTTGTTTTTCCAGCTCAAGCGTGTTCTCATCCTCCACAGCTGTTGTATGGGAGCATCTCACTGCTGTCTCTTGGCCTTGAATCCTGCTGTTCAGATTTAAGGCTTTGGCTGCTGCACTCCATGCTCTGGAAGACTTTGGCACATATTGATGCCCTCAGGCACTCAGTGTGATTTTGGGGTTGTCCTGTGCAGGGCCAGGAGTTGGACTCGATGATTCTTGGGGTCTCTTCCAGCTCAGGATGTTCTATGATCCTGTGATATTTCTAGAGACAGAAGAACTGCTGTTTTTTAGGAAATATATCCCTCAGTGATTATCCTTGTGAGCTTTCTGGGTTAGCATTTGCAAGCACTGGTTTTCCAAGGCTTTCTAGAAAAAGGCTTAGGACAATGATATGTCCATGATGAACAGGCAAAACCTGCTGTGGCTTGTCCTGGTTTCATGTGGTGGTCTCCAAAGGACTGGCTGTCCCAGGATCAGAGCAGACTGTCCCTTTCATCCATCCTATCTTGGAAAAAAAAATAAATCAGAGGAAAGGTTGGAAAAGACCTCCAAGATCATCAAGTCCAACCTTTAAACCATCAAGTCCAACCTTTGAACCATTGTATCTAACCCCACAGACCTGGTCTGAGCCTGTCAGTTGGAGTTCTGGGTGATTTTAGGCTTGCACAGTCAGAGGGGTCAGCGTTGCGCTGGGGTTGTGCCAGCACTGGCAGCTCTCCCCTAAGCCCTCACCCCCACCCCAAAAGGAGGTGTGTGTGGGCAGCTCTGGGCAGGGCTGTGGGGAGGTGTGGGAGGGGACACCAGCTGCTTGCACAGCCACTCACCTGCCCTGGGATGAGCTCTCTGGTGTCAGTGCCCCTCCAAAGCCCCTTGTGCTGCACCCCGAGGAGCTCAGTGTGACACACAGGCACTGACTGCTGCTGCTTCTGCTTTTGTGCCTGCAGTCGACCACAGCAGAGTGGAGCTGTCCCTGATCACCTCCGACACAGACTCCCACTACATCAATGCCAACTTCATCCAGGTATTGCCTCTCCCGCCGTGTTTTGCCCTGCAAAGGTGTCTGTGGGGCCACCTCGCTGAGCTGTGACGGGAGGAGCAGGTCGGGGGCTCCTCGACGTGAGCCCTCCAAAAAACCACCCCGTGCAGCTCGGAGCCAGCAGGCCACAGGGCAAGGGACGTGAGCTTGCACTGGGGGAACAGTTTGTGGTTCACAGCCCCGACTTCCTCGTCGGCGCCGCCGCCTCGGTGGGTGACAGTGGTGCAAAGCTGCCTGTGGCCAGAGTGGCCTTGGCTGAAAGCAGAGCAGGGGCAGGAAACCTTGCACTGCAGCACGGCTGGGACCCGCTGCAGGGACCAGAAATGGGGCAGGGCAGCGTGGGCTGGCTCTCCAGCAGGAGCTCCACGAGTTTTGGGACTGTCCTGCAGCCTTTGGGACCCTCCTCTGATTGAAGGGTAGATGGACAGATGGATAGATGTGGATAGATGGATGGATGGATGGATGGATGGATAGATCAGTAGATAGATACATAGATAGATAGATAGACAGATTGATTTCCTTCATTCTCCACGGCAGTGACCCAGGGATCTCTGCAACCTGTCTGGAGAAGAACAGACCTTCCCAGCCCTTCCCAACACACCTTCATGGTTCATTCTTTGGCATTCTTTGACATCACCTCCAAGCTCCCAGATGCACTGCAAGAGCTGGTGGGGGGCTCTGGGAGCAGCCCAAACCCAGCTCCCTGGTCTGGCCCTTCCTTTGGGCTTGGTTTGCCCAGCACTGCTTGATTTAATGCCTAAAATTCAACTGTTTGAAAGTCCTTCTAAATCCCTAACTGGCCTGTTAAATAAGATCAGATTCAGAGAGAGGAATGACTTTATTTCTGCTGGTGAACTATGCACAGATGTCTCCATGTCTGGTTTGAATGTTCTAGGGTGTCTATGGGCCAAGAGCATACATTGCAACCCAGGGTCCTCTCCCCACTACTGTCATTGACTTTTGGAGGATGATTTGGGAGTATGAAGTCCTGGTAAGGTGTAGATTTATATTTAAATATAAAGTTTACATGTTTGGGGGGATTTTTTTTTTTTTAAGAAACGTTGTCCATCCATGCAGAAGTCCTTTGTGAGGCAGAGGGAGTGTCAGGGTTTTACTGCAGATGTTGTGTGTGCCCCAGATTCCTCCCATCAGCCTCCCCTGCCAGGAGTCTGCTGGTGGGTGGGAAGGTCCCTGTGCCCGGGCTGTGGGTGATGGGCCCTGTTTTGCAGTTGTGGCTTAGGGGGAATCAGCCCACAGAACCTCCTCATCCCTGACAAGGACCTGCAAGGGATGGGTTTGACTCCACTGCCTGGATAAGGGACTTGTGTTCAGGCTTTTCTGATGAACCTTCTCTCTGCAGGTGGTGGTCATGGCTTGTATGGAGTTTGAAATGGGGAAGGTGAGTGGCCTGTCAGAGGTGGCCTCTGCTGTGACAGTGCCAGGGCAGGGGGAGAGGGGCAGCTTTTTATTAAATCCCATTAGTGACAGCGAGTTTCTGTTTGATATAAACTGTTTTCTGAGTCTCCAGCTGCAAAGGGTCTAGTGGGAGGTGTCCCTGCCCATGGCATTCTGTGACTGTGAAATTCTTAAGCTGTTTCCAGAGGCATAAAGAGCCTCTCTGGAAAGGTGAAACCAGCAGTGGTGGCTCCAGGGAAGGGGAGGCTGGAGCTGACCAGCAGAATGAATGTGAATTTTCTCCCGAAAAGCGAGACAGGAGCGTGGCTGGGCCAGTGGGGAATAACCAAACACATCCTCTTCTCCCAACAGAAGAAGTGTGAGCGGTACTGGGCGGAGATGGACGGCTCCCCCCTGCACTGTGGCCCCTTCTCCATCACCTGTGTGAGTGCAGCCCCACAGCACCGTGTCCTGTCCCATCACCTGCACCAGAACCCCGTGGCACCCACTGGGAATGTGACTCTGACTTCTTGTTCTGCAGGAAGCTGAGGAGAAGAGGGATGAGTACGTGATTAGGAATTTGAAGGTGACCTTCAACGGGGTAAGTAGGAAAGGTCAAGGCAGGAAGTGCATCTTGGATGGCTTTATTGTATAAATAATATATTCAACTATGGTACATTTTGTGCAGAAAATTTTATGCTGGTCAGGCCGCTGATTTAGATTTGACAGGAGCTGAGGGGACAAAGAAAGTAAAAAAATTAGTTAACTCAAACCCCAGCCGGCCCAGCCCCTGCCAGCTCTCTCCCCTTGCAGGTGACCCGCACCATCCACCAGTTCCACTACAAAAACTGGCCAGACCACCACGTCCCCTCCTCCATTGACCCCATCCTGGAGCTCATCAGGGAGATTCGCTGCTACCAGCCGGATGACGCTGTCCCTGTCTGCATCCACTGCAGGTGGGTGAGGTGGCTGCCACTGGGGGAGGGCTGCTGGCCCCCTGGACCCCCCTGCTCCTGCTTCCCGAGAGGCCACAGGGGGTGACAGCTGGCCAAGCCCTCAGCTCCTCTTATGGGAAGCCCTAAGGCCAAGGGGTCCTCTGAGGACAGCTGGCATGGCCAGGTGACAGGGAAGGGGACAGGTGGCACCAAGCCAGCAATAGAATCATGGAATCAAGGCATTGTTTAGCTTGGAAAAGACCTTTAAAATGATCAAGCCCAACCGTTAACCCAACACTGGCAAGGCCACCACTAAACCACGTCCCCACGTCTACACATCTTCTAAATCCCTACAGGGATGTGAGTTCAGCACTGCCCTGGGAAGCTGTGCCAGGGCTGGACAACCCTCTTGGTGAAGAAAGTTTTCCTAATACCCAACCTAAACCTCCCCTGGCACAAGCTGAGGCTGTTTGCTCTTGTCCCGTCGCTTGTTCCTTGGAGAAGAGACTGACCCCCACCTGGCTACAACCTCCTTGTGGCTGTGGAGAGTGAGAAGGTCTAGTTAAGAGGTCACCAACTCTGGGCACGTCCATGTGTGGCTGGTCACCACAGGGGGACTGAGAACTGTTTTCAGGGGACAAGCTGTGCCTCCCAGCCTGCAGCAAAGCCAGGGGCAGGCGGGGCCCTACATGGGGTGAAGCTCAGCAGGGCCGTTGTGCAGGTCTGCACCTTCTGCTGTGTGGGGCAGGAGGGTCCCACATGGCTGTGGGTCTTCTCCAAGTGCCCTTGTCAGAAGGCAGAGGGTGTGATGTGCTGTGGCTGTCGTTGCAGTGCTGGCTGTGGCAGGACGGGCGTCATCTGCGCCATCGACTACACCCAGAAGCTGCTGAAGGACGGGGTGAGTGCCAGCCCTGGGCACCTTCAGATGGCACCTGCACCCCCCTGGCTCTCCCTCACCTTCCCTGTCCCTTTCACCCCCTCTGACTGCATGTTTCAGGTGACAGCCATGAACACAAGCTCCCTGCAGCCTGAGTGGAGAGCAGGGGTGGCCGAACTGACACTCCATTCCCAGTCTGTGCTGCTTCTCCTCTTCAGGCTCTGCCACTGCTCCTGCCCCATCCCCCTGGGACAGCATCACACCAACGGGGCAGAATCCCCCCTGCATTGCTCCCTCTGGCCAGACCTTCACCTCCCAGCACTTGGCTCTGCTCTGACCTTCACCCTTTGATACAACTTTAGTGTCTATACCCGGTGTTTCCAAACTAACACCTTGTTTCACTCTGACTCTCCAGTTTGGATGTAGGGGCAGCAATCCCTGTCCCAAGTTGCTGGGACTGTTGTGTTTTCTTCTACAATTCCCTAAATCCATCCATGTGGGTTTCGTGTCCTTCTTGCTTTCCTCAGGTGTTACCAGGGCTGTTACAAAAGGGGATTTTCTGTGGAGTGTGAGACAGGAGGGAGAAGGTTTATAATAAAAATAGCTCTTTAAGCAGGTCCTTTGTTAAAAATTCTTGCAATTGGAGGCCTGGATTTCAGACACTGCTCTAAACTTGTCATGGCTTGGAATCTGCTTGGAATTAGATCTGTCTGTAATTATTGTCAGAGAAATCACAGAAAACATGAAAATAATTGGGTTGAAGGGGACCTTAAAGCCCATCTCGTCCCCCTCCTTCCACCAGCCCAGGTTGCTCCAAGCCCCATCCAACCTGGCCTTGGGCACTTCCAGGGATGGGGCAGCCACAGCTTCTCTGGGCAACCTGTGCCAGGGCCTCCCCACCCTCACAGGGAAGAATGTCTTCCTAAAATTTAATCTAAATTTCTCCTCTTTTGATTTAAAACCGTTTCCTCTTCTACCTCTCCCGTAAGATTGTTCCGGTGAACTTCAGCGTCTTCGGGCTGATCCAGGAGATGCGCACACAAAGGCCCTGCATTGTGCAGACCAAGGTGTGTTTGGGAAACCTCCCCGACTGCCCCAGCCCCCATCCTGGGAGCTCACCTTTTCCCCCAGGAGGGTTCACAGCATGCAGACCCAGAGGGGTTGTGCTGGTGGCAGCTGGGGTGTGAAGATGTTCTTCAAAGCCCCCTTTCTGAAGGGAGAGGTGATTGTGCAGAAATTAATTTGGCAGCTGAGCCAAATTAATTTGTCCTTGTAGACAGCTGGGACAGTGCTTGCAGTGTGACTTGTCGAACGCTTACGCTGTGAGACAAGGCACTGTCCGGGAAATCAAGTGGGAACTTTTCTTGCCTGAGCCAGTCTGAAGGGGAAGCTCGATGCAGAACAGCATTGTTTGTGCACCCAAAACCTCCCCCAAATGCTTCAGTGTGAGAGCCCTGTGAGGGTTGTGGCTTCTGCCTCTTCTGAGAATCATTCACACCCCGCCAACAGACAGGAAAGTGGCAGCTTCTCTCAGGGGTGATGCTTTGTTTGGTCAGAGCTGACCATTTACAGGGACCTCAGGTCATGGCACTCATGCTTGTCTGTCTGGAATTTGTTTATTTGTCTGGAATGCAGGAGCAGTACGAGCTGGTTTACGATGTGGTGATTGAGCTCTTCAGAAGGCAGATTAAAGCACTGGATGCCCAGAAGGATTCTGCTGATTCCCAGGTAAAAGTCCCAGGACAAACACCCAACTCTAATCTCCACTCCTGCTGCAGAGCTGGGATCAATCCCCACGTTTTCTGCTCCTCTTGATGCCCAAACTGAGTCTCTTTTGAAGCTGACCCATGAGAACCCAGCTCTGAGTGTGCAATGCTTATCACAAACACCACCTACATTTCTCTTTGGTCCCCGAACCGTTTGATATTTTCTATTTACTTTCATAATTGCTTAATGTCACGAGTGAATAGGAAAACACCAGCTTTCTGCAGTAGTGGCTGATTTCCATGGGGATGTGCCAGTGGAACTTGTCTTCATGAAGTGTTTCCAAGCAACAGGGTGACTTTTAGTCCAGGTTGGGAAGGTCCAGGTTGGGAAGCTTGGGAACACAAGGTGGTGTGGCTGAAAGTGTTACTGGTGGTGTGCAAGTGAGGCAATCAGCACTACAGCCTGTCTGTGGGAGAGAGGAGGGTAAAACATCTGGTGAAAAAACATGGCAAAGTCTTTCAAATCCTCTACACCTCCAAGGAGAAATAATGTGGTCTTGGTATGAAGTTGCATGTAAACAGGACTATCCAAAACACCCCTGTTTAAGCTTTGCTTTGCTCTTGCTGTTCTGTGGCTGCTGGAATGAGCCTCACTGTTCCTGTGTGGCTGTTTGAATGCAGATGAAGTAAATGCATTGACAAAGAACCGGGAAGAGGATCCTGCGGTGGGACTCCTGCCTCAATTTTGCCATAGGATTTGCAGGATGTCCCAAGTCAGAGATGAGTGAGAAAAGAGCTGGAAACCCCCTTTTTTTGTGTGTGTTATGGACAGTCTGTGAGCAGAAGAGATGCAGGACTGGGTTGACACAAAATGCAGAGAATGTTTCAAGTCCAGCTGTGGTTTTGCAGCTCCTGCCCAAACCTCTCACCCCCTCAAGTCTCTCTGTCCTCTGAGGGCTCTGGGGATGGCCATGAGCTGGTGTCACGGATGAAACCAGCACCCAGCTTGCCCAGCCACATGGGCTCCTGGAGGCAGGGAACTCTGCACAGGCTGCTGGGCACAGCTGGGTGGTTGCAGGGCTCGCTGTGCCCTCACTCCAAATTGCTCTTCAAGAGGTTCTGTCTGCAGTTTTCAGCTTCAGCTTGGGTGTTTTCAAGTTGGTGCTTGTCATTTCCCAACTGTATTAATAATTAGAAGTAATTGGCACAAATTCCAGCTCCTGAAATGTTGGTGTTCTTTGCATTCTTCCTCCTCACTCTTGTTTCCCAAACTTTCCTTTCCCTAGGCACGAGCAGGGCCTCCTGTAGCCAAGCCACTCCTGACTCCGGTGGAAGACATTTACGGTCTGAGTTTACTCACCTGGTAAGGCCACAGCACCACTATCCCTGACTTTCCTGAGCCCTCCACGGCTTTGACTCCCCGTCACGATGCTTTGTTGCAGCTCAGAGCGAGAGGAGCGGGCTGTGCCCCAACACCTTCCTCCAGTGGCACAAAGCAAAGCGTCCCTGCCATCTCCGTGCGCCCCAGGGGCACAGGACAGCTCTGGCTGTGCAGTGTCCCCCATCAGACAGGCCTTCTCCTTCGGTGCTCTGAACTTCATCAGCTGCAGGAAGGCGGCTGTCGCCGAGCAATGGGGGGCTGGGGACGCCCCTCGGAAACGCCGCAGCTGGGAGCTGGACCTGGAGCCCAAGGGAGCAGCAGGGAGGGGGCCTGGGGGCAGAGCACCTCTGACATGGACTGCATCCAACCCTCTAGTGCTGGGGCAGCGGGGAGAAGACTGGGAATGGGATGGAAGGGGTGCCAGGCCTGTTTGGAATTCACGGTGGCCAAATGCTGGTCACTCAAGCTTCCAGGATGGATTTTCTCCTGTGGACCTGAACCCCTCCAGACGAGAAGCAGGTGGCCCCCCAAGCCACAGGAACCATGGGCGATGCCCTTACCCTCATCTCTGCTCAGCAGAAGATCCCTACTTCTCGTCACTCTCTCCAGACGACCCCGTGTCCCCAGTGTTTTCCAAGTGCTTTGTGGAGGGGCAGGATGAGCTTCTTCCTTCTTGTGCTGCCAGTGCCCCGCTGCAGCCCACCACAGCCAGCTCCCCACCGTCCCACCACGCTCCCCTGGATGAGGAGAGGATGTCCCCAGCAGGTAAGTGCTGCAGGGCTGGGACACATGGGGCTGGATCACTCTGGATGGAGCTGGAGGGAGCACATGGTGTGGTTTTTCAGTGTCCAGGCAGGGACTGTAGCTGCTCCTCAGGACTGTGCTCATCACCTTGCCCAGCCCAGTGGGAATTCTGCTGCCAGCTCTGCTGGAGGTCTGTCCCTGAGGCCACGTGGCTGGTCAATTGGTGCTGAGAACTCTCTGGATTTTGAACCACAGTTTAGAGGTGTTTAACCGTGTGGCAGGGCAGGAGCAGTGTCATGCCATGCAGGTAACCTGTCCGTGTCTCTCCATGCAGGTAACCTGTCCCTGTCTTTCCAATTACCCACCCTGCCACAGCCAGATGATGATGATGATCCCCCACCCCTGCCCCAGCGCACCCCTGAGTCCTTTATTGTGGCCAATGAACCGGGTAAGTGCATCCAACAATCTTCAATGTGGAGCACTGAGGGACCGTCCAAGATTTGTTGTCCCGCAGCATCCAGCAGTGGCTGTGCTGCCTGGGATGGGAAATGACCTCTCCTGTGTTCAATTGCTTCTAGGACAATTTCCTCTGGCCACTTCTGATTTTCAGCTCCCAGAGAGAAATCCAAATATCGGAACCTCTCGGGAGTGGAGTGGTGAGACTCACTCAGAGGAGCTTCGGGACTTTGGGAGGCTGAGAACATGCAAGGTAAGTAAGTGGCTTTTTATCTCTTCTCCAGCACCATCCCTATGCCATTTTCCTTATCATGTTTCCTTCTGTGAGGAAGACCCTAGTGTTGGTACTTTGTACTTTCCATAAATTATTTCAAAGAGTCACAGAATCCCAGAATGGTTTGGGTGGGAAGGGATCTTAAAGCCCATCTCATCCCACCCCCTGCCATGGGCAAAGACACCTTCCACTACACCAAGTTGCTCCAAGCCCTGTCCAACCTGTCCTTGAACACTTCCAGGGATTTCAGGGCTCAGGACAGGAAAGAAGATGTGGCCTCAGCCAAACTCCTCCTCATCAACATCCACTTTACTCCAAACATTGTTTTTGTGGGCCCTAAGTCCCATACAAGGCAATAAACACATTGTCCCTCATTTAGAGGAGGATAATAAAGACAGAAGGTTGGTGGTCCACTGAGGTTCACACAGCCCTGTGGAATAAGCAGGAGCTGAACAAAATGTAGGCATGTCTTGATCATCCCATAGCTGAACGACAGCTCTGGGAAGGGAAAGGATAAGGCACAAGTCTGTCTTCCATCCCACAAGCGTGGAGGTGTGTGCGGGAGGGTGTTTGCACATCACATCCTTTCCTCCTCTTCTCTGGCTTCCTTGTGTGCAAGAGGATGACATTTGGTTTGTGGGAATTTTAAACACCTGCCTTGTTTTTTTTTGTTTCCAGAGCGTGAAGCTTCGGAGCCCCCGGACAGGTATAAGTTTAACTCTGGGATAATCTTTAGAACGAAAATCTGCTTTTTACTGAAGCTGCTTTGTTTAGTGAATGGCATCAGGATCTGTGCTTAGTCTGATGGAAAATTTGTGTTGCTAAATAGTTCTGCAACTAAATACTTCTAACCAGAACCAAACAGTTCTGCAAACAAACTGGCAGTTTTATATTTCCTAACCGGCTCCTGCCTCACCCTCACCAAGGAACACGAGGATGTTCCTTGCAGCCTCCTCTTTTGCTGCATTTTGTGTTTCCTTTGAGACAACTGAGATATTCTGGTTGGTTATAAAATATATATATTTATATTTCAAGCCAGGTAGCCTACTCTTTTATCTTTGCTTTCTCAGAGACAACCTGGGATCTCTCTGACTCTCCTCCCCCGCTTCCTGAAAGAACCCCAGAGTCGTTTGTTCTCGCTGAGGCAGCAAGTGAGTGCTGAGCTCTTTTTGAGCTCTTTTTCAGGATGTAACTGAGGTTTTATGTTCACACCTAAACCTGTGGATAGCTGAGATCGTGGCCCGCTTGTTCAAAGCATTACCAGGCAGCGCTTCAGGCCTTCACTGCAGGAGAGTTCAGCAGGTACAAAGAAAATAAACACAACCAGGGGACCTTGCTGGAAATTTCCAGAAGTGGTGCCTTGGAGGAAATGAAAAACAACAACAAAGCACTTAGGAAAAAGCAGGAGGATTTGTGAGTGACCACTGAAAAGACGTGTATGATGTGTGTTCCCAGGTCTGCAGCCTGCTGCGAGAAACTCCTCAAGTCCTGCGGGTTTGGAGAGCACGGATTTTGAAACCTCATCCAAAGAGGCCCTGAAATGCTTCAGGAGGAGCAAGGTAGAGGAAACAAAAGAAAAGGTGTTGAAAATGGAGAGGGTGCCAGTGGTTATGCCTTGGAACTCCAGCCACCTGGAGTGCCAGTTCCTCTTGGAGAAAGCTGCTCCAGTGGAGTCTGAGTGTGTCCTACAAGGATCCTCTTCTTGTGACTGCTGTTAATTATCCTCAGGGTTTGTGTTTTGGGAGGTTGTGGTTGAGCAGAAAAGCATTTGAGGAAAAGAGCAAGGAAAATATCAACTGGAGGCATTTGGGGTGACAAGGAAAAATCCAGGGACAGAGGGAATGGCACAAGTCTGCTTTTCAGCCTCAGCTGCAGGACATGATGCCTTTTATGAGATATAATACGTGTACATTTACCACTGAATTGCCTTTATCACAGCAGCAGATTTATTTGTACATGTCTATTTATCAGTGTATTTATACATGTACATTTATCCATAAATTCCCTTTATCACAATGCCTGATCTGCTGCTTCCTACATTTTTTTTTCCAACAAGCCTTTTCTTTTTCTATTTCTTTTCACAGAGCATGAAAATACTGAAAAATGTGAGAAAAAGTAAGTCTTTAAGGCTAATGTGCATCTTCCCAACGGATTTCCACAAGTATTAAAATATGTGGGATGGAAATGGGAAGGACTTTTCCAATGTGAAAGTCCCTCCACATCTGCTATTTTGGACACTGTGGTGCCCTTTGGGTATTGTGGGGACAAATAACCCTTAATGATTCCATGATTCTATGGGTTCAGATCTTTGGGACCAGAGACCCACTGCTCCAATCTCATTTTTTTATTTCTAGGCATCTGCAGCCCATCTTCATGGACAAAATCATCAGAGCCTGCCCCAACAAACCCTCTGAGGTCTTTCCTTAACTTTGGTATGTTTTCCTCTTTGTGTTTGGGTAGGAAGAACCTGGATTTTGACAATCTAAATGCCAGGCAGAACACTAACGAATTACAAACATTACAAATAATGTTTTTGCATATTTACAACTTTATTCACAACTACAGGATGCTGCTTTTCTACTGTATCCTAAAGTTGGGAAAGAACTGAAATTACAAGTTGTTATCTATAACATATGGAATATATTTTATTTAAAAAATATAATTTCTCCCTAGGCTTTGCAAATCGATTTTCAAAACCTAAAGGCCCAAGAAATCCACCCCCAACATGGAATATTTAGATGCATTTTATAGACTTGGTGTTGCAGATCTGTGAAGTCTTCCTGATGCACCTGGAATGCTCATCCCAGCGAGGTTTCCAAGAAAATAAACACATCAAAAGTTGTTGCACAGTACTGGCAGCTCAGGCACTACTTGCACACTCTTCAGCTGAAGATTTAAAGTAAAGAAGAGTAATAAAAAGGACCAGCAGCTTTCAGTTAATTTACAACAGGATGGAAAGTAAACCTGGGAATAGATATTTTATCCTAAGGAGGGACATGTTTTTGTTGGGTTTTGGAATGGGATCACTTCAAAATGATGGATTTGAGTGTAAACTGGGGATAGGACCCAGTGAAGACCCAGTGGAATGATCTGGAAGGCCAATGGAGCAGAGTGAAGTGGATCAAGACCCCTGAATGGTGCAGGCACAGCATCTCTTTAACATCACATTTGTAGGTCTACTGTAACCAAAGACACTTAAATGTTTATATAACATGGACTAAAAGGGAATTAGCATCCTAGATTTCAGAAATAATTTAAGCTTTTTTATTTCTTTTTTCTATTTTTTTTTTTTTCCTATCTGAGCACCTCAGAGAATTTGTCTGGATTTGGGTCAATAAGACTAAGATGGTGATTGATCCCACATAAATTACACCTGTGTAATTGACCCTGAAAAAAAAAAAAATCCCAAAACACCAACCACAGCAAGCAAAATATTATTATTTTTTCTAAAAAAACAATCCTTTTTAAAAGGATTTGAGTCTCCACCCCAGAATTTCAGGCGGGAACTGGGAAGATGAGATTCCTCACCAGATTCCACTGCTGTTTATGTCCTCAGTGGGGAGGGATAAAGATGCTGGGAACTGCTTTATAGGATCGTTTTCCTGTAAAGACAGAAACAAACTTGGGATGTGTGGAATTCGGCCAAGAGGAATGTGCTGACCACTGCTGGAGTAGAAAACTCGAGCTGATTTAAAGCTACTTTTGCTGGAGGAATAGTCAGCACTGCCTTATTTTTCACTCAAGTCATGGATTTCCTCAACAGCAGAAACTGCTTTAGTGGAAAGCGTCTCTTCCCATGGCGGGGGTTTGGAATGAGACGAGCTTTAATGTCCCTTCCAACCCGAACCACTCTGGGATTCTGCGGTCCTGCCATTCACCGATTCCATTCCCGGGCAGGGATGTCCGCTCTCAAAGCTCCACCAGCCTTCCCTCCCGCCCCCTACCATCAACGGCGGTCGCCGTTTTAACGGATTTAACGTCACAACGGGCGAGAAACACCGTTAAAATAAACTTTATTACCCGCTGCCCCCCCCCTCCTTCCAGCGCTCCCTCAGCGCTTTCCCGCCCGCTCACCACCCCCCCAGCTCACGTGACCCCGCCCCGCGCCCCTGCCCGTAACGAACTACTGGTCCCAGGGTGCCCCGCGGGCCGCGCGTGCGCGGCTGCTCCCCGGCGCTCGGGCCATTTAAATGTGTGTGAGGGAGCCCCTGAAATGGCCGCGCAGGTCGCCGCGGTGCCGCGGGCCGCGGAGGAGCCGCCGCCACCACCGCCCTCAGCCGACCGGCCCGCCCGGCCCCGCGGGCCCGCCGCCGGCGGGCCGCCCCTGGGGAGCCTCCCGCCGCCAAGCGGGCCCGCCCGAGCGCGGCGCTGCTGGCCGGGCCCGGCCCGGCGGAGCCGCTGCCCCCGCCCGCCCTGCCCGCCGCGGGGCTCTTCACGTTCTCCCCGCTCAGCCTCCCGCCGCCCGCCGAGCGCCGCCACCACCACCGGCACCACGGCGAGCCCGCCGCGCACAAGGCGAGGCGCGGCAGCCCCGCGGACGGCGCGGCGGGGCGGCCCAGCCAGCGAGGTGAGAGCGCCGGGCGGGGCGCGGGGGGTTCCCCGCCGAGGGCCGGGCCGGGCCGGGCCGGGGCCGCCTGCACGGGGAGGCAGCGCCCGGAGCTCCACCTGTGGAGGTGTGAGGGCAGAGGGAGCGCCCTGTGGGCCGTGTCCAGCGGTGTCGTAGCGGGCACGGCGGGGCTGCCCCGCGGGACGGGGCGCGGGGATGGTCCCGGGGCTGCCGGGGATGGTGCTGTCAGGGTCGCCCTCACGGCAGGTGCAGCAGCAGCGGCCGCGGGAGCGAAGCGTTGTGCCCTCCGTGCTTCCAGTAACGTGTGCTGGAGCTGGCAGTCTGCTGGGGTTTTTATTTTATTGTTATTTATTAGCCTCAGTCAGAGGGGATCCCACCAACCCCTACAAATATCTATAAGAGGTGTCCCGCTCTTTTTAGTGACAGGACGAGGAGCAATGGCCATAAATTAAAATACAACAAGTTCTGCCTCAACGTGAGGAAGAACTTCATTACGCTGAGGGTGGCAGAGCACTGGAACAGCTGCCCCGGGAGGGTGTGGAGTCTCCCTCTCTGGAGACATTCCAGACCCACCTGGATGAGTTCCTGTCTCACCTTCTCCAGGTGACCCTGCCTTGGTCTGGATGATCTCCGGAGGTCCCTTCTAACCCTAACAAAGCTGTGATTTCTCTAATAGAAAGGCCAAAATATCTCTGGATTCTAGTGCGTGGTGGGTGTGGTGTTTGTTTGTTTTAACAGCACAGAATGACTTTTCTGGTTCTGCTGGCAAATTTGTCGTAGTAAAAACCTCTTGGTGAGAGCAAGGTAGATAAAAAGTAACTGCAAAAGCTGCTGTAATAAAAGTACTGTGTTGTGAATTATGCTTTTGGAGAGTATGTGAAGGTTCTGTGCCAAAGAAACCAAAGATGCACGTGCTTACAGGAGCCAGGTCTGTAGTGTAAATTCTGGATAGGACTGTCTGAAGAGTGGTCAAAACTATTACTAGGGCAGACTTTTCTCTGCTTGTTAATGCTTCTGCTCCCCTGTACTTGGATAATGACTGTAGAAGCTACTGGATTGTAAACTTCTGCAGTGTTATCAATATTTATCAGGCCAGAGTTTGAAGCAGTGTGTCCTTGTAGGCTGGAGTGTCACTGTGTCAGTTCTAACCCAGAATTAAATAAGGCTTCTTTTAATGAGGGCTTGAACAGTGTGAAAATGAGCAGCAAAATTCCTGATTTGCAGAGGAAAGCTGTTTGCTAATCTGAAGCTCTTCACTGCTTGCCCTCAGCTACACGTGTTGTGGTTTTCAGGAAGGGGCTGGATTTCTGTCCCTGACTATCAGTTTTTATTTTGATGTATAACCTAATTAAACTACCTATTACACTGACTATGCTGTGCTTATCTGTGGCCCCAGGTGCCAGTGAACAACCCCCCTGTTTTTGCTGTTTAATTGTGGTGCTGGTATGTTCAGTTATGTCTGATCATTTTGGAGTAGCTCAGTTATTGGCTCTGCTGTCACCTGGCCTCGCTGCTGAGCTCATAGTTTAGTGACCTGGCCATAGCTGTTTTCATGTTTGAGGTACTGCAGGCTTTCTGTTTATTTGAAGGAATAATTGAAACTGTATTTCCCTCAAGATTGTCAGGCATTGTTGCCCATAATGTCAGTGTTTAGCTTCACTTAATACAGTGCTTTCTCACTGTAGTAGTGGGACTCTGCTGTGTTCAGTGGATCCAGCAGCAGCCAGGGCAGCTTTTATCCTGAAAATAGACCACTGGAAGCTCCCAAATGCAAAGATTCCTCGGTGTCTGTCTGCTATTAGGGAATAGCTTCAAGCAGGCAGATACACTGAATGAAAACTACCACGTGTGGCGGGTTTTTAAGCGGTATTTAAAATCAGAAATGCTTAAAATAAGATACCTTTTACAACCAAAAATTCTTAGAAGCACCTATAGGGGAATATTACCAACAGCTCAGTGGCATAAAATTCTTGTTTAGTTCCAGCTTGGAATCTCTGGTCCCAGCAGAACAAAGATCCTGTGTGTGATTTGTGTGCTCGCTGCAGTGAGTGAAGCAGTGCCTGTACTCGAGAGCTCGGTGTTGAGCAAGCTCGTGCACTTCACTCCTGAGTCTTGCAGGAAACCTTTATTCCAAGAACCGTTCTGGTTGACTTCCCAAAACAAGTGATACCACCCTGCTCTTCCTGGTTTCCCTGGCTGCAACAGAAAAAGATCAGGGCCTTTTGCTGTTTGTAAAGGCTACAGCAGCACTGTGAAAACTTGTATTTCAGGTCCTAAGACTGTTGTGTGGAGTGAGTGTTAAGCAATCGACTCTTTCTTTTCTCCATGAGTAATTCTGCTGTTACACCAGGCTGTTGGGAAGGTCACCCACCTCCAGTGATGAGCTCTGGGACCAAACCAGTAATGATCTGCTTAATCACTGGGGCTGCCCTAGAGAACTTGGAGCTGTGGGTGTTTATGAGGACACTCTTTCTAGTAGAGCAGCAGTAACATGTTTTTTCCTTGTAACTTCAAGTGTTACAAGAGGAGGATACCAATTTGCAGCCCAGGAAAGGGAATTTTGGTAGCACAAAGGCCTGTGCTGAGGGCAAAACTGAAACTTCAGCTACTGCACCTTCTGGTCAGGTGTTGCCTTCAGCAGCAGGTTGTTCTGATCCCCGTGGCTGTCCTGGTAACACAGAGATTTATGGGCATTGTTGGATGAAATAGTTCTTTGATTCAGGCACATTAAAATCTTGTCTTGGCAATTGAGTTTTTAGCAGCTGGAGCATCAGGTTTTCTAACTACCTCTGCCACTTGCTAAATGTCACTTGAATTAGTTTTTATTCTTGAAAGATAAGCGGCTTAAACTATTACATTTTCTCTAACAGAGCTACTTCTTTACATTTTACCTCTCAGGCTTTTACAGGGTGATTAACCTTAAGGAAAACCCCAAAACAGCTTCTTATTTTTCTCTCTGCATTAACTGAGTAGTTAACTATAGCAGAAAAAAGCTGAAACTGTGGGTGTGATGGTCTGGGTCCTTTAATGCAAAACATCAACAGTCTAAGATTTAAGTATTTTTACCTCTAAATGTCAGGAAGGTTTGTACCTCTTCAGCTGCGCTGTTTTGCTTCTATATCACGTGTCCAAAATCAGGGAAGTGCTCTGTAATGAAAGTCTTGATGTCTAAATGTTACACACACTTATTTGTCCTCTTCCCCTGCCTTAAATGTCAGAAGTTATTAATGTACTTAATTATAGATGTTCTGAAACACAGACGCCTTTTAAAGGCATTCTAATAAACCTGTTAAAAATGGAAATATTTCTAAAACATTAAGCCTGAGCCTTTATCTGTGTAGTACTAGAAATACTGCATTTTTGGTTGTCTAATTAAGTCAAAAGTCAGGGTATTGCTACTGGTCAGACTCCCTGGGAATGGATTGCTTCAAGTGAGGGGGCTGAATTGTTTTGGGGTGAACATGCTGCAGAACTCTAATCTCCTCTTTATTGTTGCTACCAGAAACTCCTGACGAAAATGGCAAAACCCAGCGAGCTGACAGTCTTATTATGAAGAAGATAAAGAAGAAAAAGAAAAAGAAACACCGGGAAGATGTGAGGGGGAAACGCCTGAAGATGTACAACAAGGAAGTGCAGACCGTGTGCGCTGGGCTCACTCGCATCGACAAAGAGGCCCTGTCTCAAGGACAGTGTGACAGCTTGGAAATGAACAAGGAATCCTTCAGGTACCTGAAGGATGAGCAGCTCTGCAGACTGAATTTGGGGATGCAGGAGTATCGGATACCCCAGGGAGTACAAACACCGTTTGTGACGCACCAGGAGCACTCTGTTCGCAGCAGCTTCCTGAAAACTGGCACTAAATTTAGTAACTTCATTCACGAGGAACACCAGTCCAATGGAGGTGCTCTGGTCCTGCATGCCTACATGGATGAACTCTCATTTTTGTCTCCAGTGGAGATGGAGAGGTTTGCAGAAGAGTTTCTTGCGTTGTCATTCAGTGAAAATGATAAAAATGCAGCTTACTATGCCTTAGCCATAGTACACGGAGCAGCTGCTTATTTACCAGACTTCCTGGATTACTTTGCTTTTAACTTTCCTAACACTCCAGTGAAAATGGAAATTTTGGGCAAGAAGGACATTGAAACAACAACAATTTCAAATTTTCATTCTCAGGTAAGAACTGTTTAAAGGCATGAAAGTTGCACAGCACCTAGATTTGATTAATCTCATTAATCCAGAGCAGGGATGGCTTAAAATACGTGAGTTGCAAATTCACGTTCTAAGCAGATGAAAAAGATGTTGGGACTGTGCTGTTTATTCCTGTTCCTGTAAAAGCTCCCCGGTAGTTGATGATTCACACCTCAGACACTGCTATCTGTGACCTGAGGAAAGATCTGCACTGATCATCTCTTTCTTCTAAACGTGGGAAAACACTGAGATTGTTCAAAACAACAGCCAAGTCTGTACAAGAGTTGCAAAGACTGCAAATGCTAACACTTTTTTTTTAATTATTTAATAGATCTGAGTGGATTTTTTGTTTTTTTTTTTTTTTGCAATGACATTACTTTTCAGGTTTCAGTATATCATTCACAATTTTTTTTAAACATCTTATTCTATCAGCAGCTGATGTTGGGTGTTTAGACTTCCTAACTTGGAAGTGGGTAGAGTATCTTTTTCATTTCATTTTATGTATTCCCTGCTTTCCATAAATTAGCTTAGATTCTGAAACTGTATCTCCATGTAACTTAAATGGATGCAACAGTAAAAACTAAGCTAATTTAAGATTCCCTGTGAAAACCCATTGGATTTTAGTCTTGTGATCAAACTCAGAGATATCTATGAACGTACAGCAAGATTAGATTTTAGATACATTTATTTTAGATGGAATAAAGGTTTTTTCTGTTTAGTCTGAGAACGGATTCAAACTGCTGAGTACTCTTAAAGTCGTTATTCAAGACATTAATTACATCGACTGGTTGACCTGTTGGAAGGATAAATCTGAAACTCTGTAGTGGAGTGCACTTCACTACTATTGAAACAGACCTTTAGCAACAGATTTTGAAATGTTAATGCTTGTGAATGGGCTGTTTGGCTCTCTGCAGGGCTTACCAAATGCTTATAAGCAAGATTTGCATTGGAAAAACAATTCCTGCTTTACAGAAAGTTACTGCGTGGTCACTGTGGAGTCTTTGAATACCATTAAATGAATAATTCTGATACTTGGCTTATGAATTTGTTTGACAATTAATAGCTGCTGCTGCATTTAGACCAAGAAACAGAGACTGGTTAAACTGACTCTTGGTGCTGACAGGGCTGTCAGAGTGCAGAGCATCCCAAAAAACAATCTCTGCTATGGGCACTGTACACACCTGAGTGCTGCAGATGTGAAACCTGTCCCCAGGTTGGGCTTTGAAGTCTTCAGGGTTAGTGATATGTCTGTGTTAGTTGGTGTCATGATTTCATTCTAACTGGAGTGTGTGTGGTGACTCCTAAAATGGCTTAACAGAGCCACTGGGATGTTTAACAATTGCGTTTTTCCTGGGTGAATGTCCTGTGAACACGAATCCTGGTGCTATAAATACACGTGAGGAATGTATGGTAATAAATAAGAGGCTTTGTTGGGTTATAATCTGCGCTGCTACTTCAATTAATTCTATTTTAAGTACTGTCTAAACTTGATTAAGATTGAGTCATGACATAAGGTTCGGTTGGTCTAAACCACTTCTCTAAACCCAGCTCCAGCATGACCTGGTTAATCCTCTCTGGCTGAAGTGTGTTATTGCAGTTCACTCTGGGCACAGCACAGGAGCTGTCACAGGCAGCTGGAAAGGGGCTCTGCAGGGAATACACAGGGTGGTTAAGTTTAAGAAAGCATTTAAATTGCTTTTCAGGCTGGCTCATCTTGAAATGGAGAAGGGCCCAGTGCCCTGGCTGAGAGAGCCAGGGGAGGATCAGCCAGCCTGCTGTGCTGCTGCTCCTTGGCAGCACCGCTGAGGAACCAACAGACTGGCCAGGGATCACTTCTGACCTTTCTGTGTGAGAACTGTCCAGTACAGAAGCACTTGGTGGTTATGCTTTTGCAGATTGAGCATCTTACACCGTTGTGTGCTGTAACACTGAGTGTTTTTAATTGGAGATAATGAAGTCACCTTCATTCTGGGTTCCTTGTCTGTGCATGAGCTTCTTTGCTGCACTGACCCATCCTGTGGTGAGGGGATTTTGAGCATTGGGTAGTTTTGAGTCCTGGAGACTCAGTGTCGAGAAATGAAGATTTGATCTGTAAATTGCAAGCTAATGTGACCTCTGGCTTACACAACATTGAGCTGTTTTGTGTACCTTTTCAGAGAAACTGAATTTTAGTAGGAAGTGTCTCCAGTTCAAAATAAGGACTTTAATCAGGAAGAACTGATAAAAGTCTGGTGATAATTAACTGCCTTGCCAGGGGAATTCCTTTGTTCTCAGGGCAGTGTGTTCATAACAAGCACTGTTTGGAGTGTGTTTGGAGCATAAATGTTTGTCTTCAGTATCTTAAAATAATTAAGCTTAAATGTCCTCTGGATTTTTTGCTTGCATTGGCTGCCCTTGGTTCTACTACTTCAGTACTGAAGCAAAGCTTTAGTTTGGAGCTGTTCACAAGCTTTAAAGACTCAAATCACTGAGCAGTAATTTGTAAGCTTTCTTCACATAAGGGCACAATTTAATTTGGAAACCCTTAGCAGTGCAGCTAGAATGAGCTCTCATTTTCCTTATCACTTGCTTCAGTACAACTGCTTCTAGTTCCACTCAGTGAATTGGAATATATTTAGACTTAAAAAACACTTCTACTTTTTTTTTCCCCCAAGAAAAAACGTATCAGCTGCCTGTTGAATTCTCCCTCTGATCCAAAGGAGAGTTAGACTGTCACAGAGGAGTGGGGGTTCTGGGAAGAGGCCAGGAAAGAGCTGGGGAAGTAGGTTTTGCAGAAGCTGTTGTTCCTTCTGGGAAGAAGGCGGGAGAAGCAGCCAACAGGTGATAATTGGGGAAGTTTTCCTACTCCTGCTGTCAGAAAAGGTTCCTCTGTTCCTGACAGCTTTGGTTAATGAACCACATCACAGCTTGGTTGTCTCCCCCACGTGAACTTCTCTTATTCTGGAATGGCAATTTCTTTTTTTAGCAGAAGCTACCAAAGTGTGAAGGGGAGAAATTGTGCATGTGTACTGCAGACTTTACTTGGCTTGTCACCAGAGCCACATAAGCCATGCCCAGTGGTCTGGCTGCAGTTTGTCACGTTGGAGTCGGACATGTCACCCTTGCTGTGCTGGCGTGTCACTGCCCTGTCCCTCTGTTGTCAGTTGTAACCCCCTTGTGCTCCTGCTTTCTCCCCTGTAGCCAAGTGTTTGTGTGGTTGGTTTTATAGCTGACTTGGCGTCTGGAAATATTGGCACTGTCAACTCAGTCGTGCTTTCCTTGCAACTGGAGAGAAACTTCTGAGACTTAACCTCATTTGTCTCCAGCTGATGCCTCATCTGTGTGTCCTCTTCTCACCCTTTGGGGTTTTTGCTGCTCACTTAACCCTTGGAGAGGCAGGGCAGGGGCTGGGGTGGCTCAGGGACATGCAAATAAATACCAGCTCTGTGCCTGGGACAGGAAACGCTGGTGCTGTCTGTTCCTGTTCTCACCCAAGTGTGGGGAACACTGAGAGGCACATCGTGCAGCTGCAAGAAAATGTCCCCTTGAGCACTGAAGAGCTAATTTTAACCATGCCTATAACTCACTGTCAGCAGGGGGTACACAGGGCAGTGTGGCATTTGAAAGGGCACAGGGGTCTTACTGGGCCCCGTGGTCCTTACACAACAGTAATTCTGGTTTTAATTCTCACGTGTATGGATTTAATTTCTGTTAAAAATTACCAAAACATTGAAATCCAATATTTCCCTAAAGTATTTCTGCTCTCCCCTTTATAACTCTTGAAAATTCTTCTGTTTGTTTGGTTTTTTTTTTTCATTGTGTTCCACTGCATTGAAAAAACCCTCCACACTTAAAGCTTCTAGTTTTTCATTTCCTTTGAAAACATTGCAAGGAAAAACTGCATGTGGAATCATAATTCTTTTTAACTTGTGACAAACACCAGTGAAATACTAGTGACTCTCAGCAGGTGGTTTCAGGAGAGCAGATCTCATCTGGAAGTGGTCTGTCTCCACTTACACAAATAGTGCCAGGCAGTTAAACTTTGCTGACTTAAGGACCAGAACATTTCAGTCCTTAGTTCCCCTGTAGGTGCCCAGAACTGGAATATTGCTGTGGTGTTCCAGTGCTCCTGCTCTGAACTGCATTCAGTGAGTAGAGTGAGCTAAACTTCTATAATTAAGCAGCTAAATATCTATGGCTGCTGTAGAGAATAAAATTGCAGCAGTAACTCTATTTTTCCCTAATTAGTCTCTCCTAATTTACCTTTAGCAACATCATGGAGTAATTTAATAACATCTGGTTTGTTGACTAAACATGCAAAACTGAAACTAAACTTCAAACTAAGCTGCTGCATCCACACATCTATAAATGGAGTTAGTTATAAAAGGCATCACACATCCTGAACATGACTTAAAATTGCCAATTTAGCAGTAATGTTCTGCCCCTGTCCCACCACTCAGCCATGGAGAACAGCTGGAGTTTTTCCCCACTGGAAGCACTCGAGCACAGAGGGAAGGCTGGGGCTCAAACACAACTGAGTGTGCAAAACAGACTAATTGTGGCAACATTTCTGCTCTATAACATCAAATACCTGTGGTATCTGCATCGAACCTGCTCTGTGGCCATATGGCATTTACAGCTGCAGTCCATAGGAGGAGGCTGGAGAACACTGGAGTCTTGCCAGGGGTTCTCCTCCAGGAACAGGAAATTGGTGAGAAAAATGTCCAGATGCCCTTGGAAAGTGGGACAGTCTGTGCCCAGAGGATGTCCAAGGGCTGTAAGTGAGATTGAAGTGTCTGGCCACAGCACTGACAGCAGGTTCTACTGCTGATAGTTATGCTGAAGTTGTTGTTCATGAGCACTGGGTTTCTGGCTAAACCTCTCATTTTCTCAGTTTGTTGTCTTTATTTTGTGTGTACATTATAACAACATTACCAGGGCCACTGCATGAGGGACACTCTGAGATTTTTCATGACAGTCCCAGGGGAAGGACCTTTGGGACAAGGCTGGAGTGAAGAATGTGCATATTCCAGGGGCATCCAGTTTGAAATGTAGAAACAACAGTCACCTGCACAAACTAGTGGAGAGTTGAAGCTTGCTGGTGAAAGAACTGAGTCACAAGGAAACCTTGTGTGGTTGTTTTCTCAAGTCAGCCTGGAAGTGTTGAATTGTTCCTGAATTAGTCAAATACTCACTTGCTGTTATTCAAACAGAAGGATTTCCTGTCAGGAGTGCAGGCAGGAGTTGTTTCTCTTGGGATGCCCTGTGGGCACGTGTTCCAAACAATCCCTGGGCGTATTCCCAAAGGCACAGCTGAAACAGAGGCAGAGGAGTCCAGCTGTGGCCTGGTGTGTTGTGACAGTCAGTTTGACTCTCCTGTAGCAGCACTAAAGCTGTGGTGTTGTCTCCTCTCTGGGCTCCCAGGTCAATCGGACGTACTGCTGTGGCACCTACAGAGCGGGACCCATGCGGCAGATCAGCCTGGTCGGAGCGGTGGATGAAGAAGTGGGGGACTACTTCCCAGAATTTCTAGATATGTTGGAAGAATCTCCATTTCTTAGAGTAAGCAGCGACTTGTGGTTTGTTCAGAGCACTGTAGATGTTTAAGCAATTACTAGGTTTCATATAGTTCAGAGTAATTAGAAACCATAAGGTGTTTTTCCTTATTGATGTGCTTATTTGGGGCTACTGAGGTTCATTCTTCCCTGTGTCCAGTTGAGAGGTATGGAATGAGGTAGCTACAATTGTGTGGATAATTAAAAAAATATAGTTTATCATATATATATACTACATAGTCCTCTGAAAACTGAATAGTCCTTCCCTGAAAACTGAATTTGATAAAGTTAGCCCTGAATATATTTTACCTCTCAAACTTATTTAGTTTCTCTGCAATTCTTTTGACAGCAAATCTGAACCAGTTTTACCAAAGGCACCATTTAATTTTTCTATCTCACCCAGTGTTTTGTGTTATGTGTGTTTTGTGGGTTGTTTTGTTTCTCCTGTCTCTTTAGATGACTCTGCCCTGGGGGACTCTTTCCAGTCTCAGACTTCAGTGCAGGTCCCAGAGCGATGACGGGCCCATCATGTGGGTGAGACCAGGAGAGCAGATGATCCCCACAGCTGACATGCCAAAATCGCCCTTCAAACGGCGCCGGTAAGGCTTGGTTTGCCTCCCCTGAGAGAGGAAAACCATTGCAGTTGTGCCTGTGTTAGATTGGAGAACAAAAGCAAAGTACTTGATGAACAAAAGTGCTTGAGAACAAAAGCAAAGTACTGGTTCTTCAGATGACTAATTCGGATTTAAGCTTCACTTTCACTTTTGTTTCAAATTGGCTCAGCTGATAAAACAAACGTTGCTTGTGATGGTTATCTTCTTTCACGGCTTTTATGTCCTAGATCAGTGCTTTCTTAAGATTAAAAACCTCTTTCATTATCCTTCAGGAGGCTTATTTTATTCATCTTATTTCTGTGGTGAGGGCAGCTCTGCATCAGCAGAGATCCTTACACTGCTCGTGCTGCATTTTAATGTTAGTGCTAAAGCACTTGTAGGACTGTCTGCCTGCTCAGGAAATATTGGGGTGTATTTACATGTTTCTCAGAAAAAGAACAAATTTTAGGAGACTTGGAAGCATATTTTAATTGTCATTTCAGGGAGGATTTTTTTACATACTCCCAAATAACTGAAGTTGAGGTTCTATTAAGATAGCTCTATTTTACATGCCATCAAATTCCTGGAGGAATTCTTCCAGCATGAGTGATTGGATTTGTTTGATCTCATAACCTGAATTGTACTTTGCTGTTTTTATTCAGCAAAAGGTTGAAAGAAAACCGAGACGAAATCAGAGGGAAGCGTTTAATTCTTTTGAAGCCTTCAGATTACTTCAACACAAATACTTATTTCTGAGTAGTCTGAAACACTTTCGGTGTGTGTTTTCGTGCCATTATAGGTCAATGAACGAGATAAAGAACCTGCAGTACCTACCTCGGACCAGCGAGCCCCGCGAGGTGCTGTTTGAGGACAGGACGAGAGCTCACGCTGACCACGTGGGGCAGGGCTTTGACTGGCAGAGCACGGCTGCTGTCGGGGTCCTGAAGGCTGTGCAGTTTGGGGAATGGTGAGTGCTGCTGGAATGCAGCTCTTCTGCATCTTCTCTTTAAAAAAAAAAAAAAGAAAAGAATTCCTTGGAAAACAACCCTAATCAAAAATCTGATTTTATCTAGTAAGATAAAAGCTGCCTAGTGCTGAAAACCCCAAGCTGTATACCTGCTGTTTTCCCCTCTTGAAGCATTAAAAGATTGCAGACTATTTTAGTGATATATAAAAGCCTTAAAATAGCATGCCTGGACCATCATCCCTGATAGTTCATTTCCTGAGCAGGTGTATTAATTCCAGCTTCTGTAACAGTAATCTAAGAACTCAGGGTAATTAATTTCACAGCTGCAGTGCCTTCTCAGGTCATGTACCCAGGATATTGCTGGTGACCTTGCAGAGAAACTCGACTTGCATCACTGTAATTGCTAGAAATTACAGTGGGAATTGGATTGCATCATTAGCAATATCATTAGATTTTTGTATGAATAAAAGGTGCCAGGACTTCCTTCACTCTGGTTCATGGCTGGTGAATAAAATCCAGCTCCTCGTTGCTTCAACTGCAGAGTTACTTTTGTTATTTTACATTTTTTCCTTTAATGCAGAATTGTTCTGTCGAATTATAAAATGAAGAACTGAGGTGAACTGTGGTTCCTAGAACTCAGAGAACGTTGGTAGTGGCATTTTGAACCTAGTTCTTGGTATATTGTCCCTGAAAACATTGCTTCTGGTGTGAAGGCAGCAAGAAAGAAGGGGAGGGGAAAGAGAAATCTCTGAATTATATCTCTTTTTCAAAATACATGCATTGAGAAGTGATGAGACTCTGCACAGTGCAGAACTGAGGAAGGCTGTTGGCTCAGAGAAACTTTCTGCATCTTTTCCAGGAGTGACCAGCCTCGTATAACCAAAGATGTGGTTTGTTTTCATGCTGAAGACTTCACTGATGTTGTGCAGAGACTTCAGCTGGACCTACATGAACCTCCAGTGTCACAGGTATCGGATCTTCCCTCGTGACAGCTCATTCTTAGTGTTTTGGGAGTAGTTTCTGGCAGATCTCAGGTTCTCTCCCTTTTGTATCCCCAGTGGCCCTCAGTCCTCACTCTCTTGGGCAATTTCCTTGTGTTTCAGGATAGAACAGTTCAGTTGGAAGGGACCTTTTCCTTTCCCCCAAGCTGGGATTTATGCTGTGAGTCACAGTGTGTGCTGTAGAAATAATCTGTTGATTAAGAAGTCATGTGTGCCTGTTCCTGCTTTTTCTGATGTCTGATGTTGTCTTAAGAGGTGGAGACAGCTCAGCTCAGTCCTGTCAGCCCAAACAATGCAGCTCATGTCACACCTACTGTTTTCAGCTGTAACCAGAGAATCCTCTTCATTCTCCTCTCCCAAGATGTGCACATTGGCTAAATTGTGTTTTAAACATCCAGTCCTCAGTTAAATTTGAACTTTTACCCATGAAACAGAACCATCCTGATTTAGGCATGAATTAAGTTGAAAATAGGAGCATACTTGAACTGTTTGAAGAGTCTACCACTAACTTTCCCATCTCTCCTTCTCCCAGTGTGTTCAATGGGTGGACGAAGCCAAACTAAACCAAATGAGACGGGAAGGCATTCGCTATGCTAGGATTCAGTTGTGTGACAATGACATCTACTTCATCCCTAGAAATGTCATTCATCAGTTCAAAACAGTGTCAGCAGTCTGCAGCTTAGCCTGGCACATCAGACTTAAACAGTATCACCCCGTGGTGGGGGAGAATTCTCCAAATGCAGACAGCAATTCAAGCCTCAACAGTAATATCCCTGGAAAGACAGAGGCAGAAGGTGAACCCCAAGGTGTGAGTGTAAAAATAGAGTCTGAAGATCCAGATGTAGAAGTTCAGCTTACCCCAGGGGTGCTCTCCTCCTCTGTTTCTTCAATATCAGGACTTGTGCAACCAGATCAGGTGGCCCAGCCCCTTCCAGGTTTTAAAGTAGAGTCTGATCAGCAACACAATCCACAGGATCATGCAGGCTCTTCTGTGTGATATGTATATAATCAAATGTTTTTTTAACAACTTTTTAAAATTTTGATGTGAAGTTATAGTTTTATAACTGGCTTATGTTTTATTGGAGAAATCTTGCCTATAATTCTATAAAGAAAGGTGACATTCCAAAATGTCAAGCATATCTTTTTTACACAGATTATGCAAAATTCAAGTTGTATTTTAACCCCTTAGTACAACCTGTAACAGTGGTCTACCACTTCTTTCTGTTTAAGTAGAAGAGATGTTGAATATCTTCTCAAAGTCAGATTGAAATTCCTCCAGGAACATGAAATGGTTGAACTCCATTGGTCAGTGTTATTTCCCTACTTTTACTTTATCTCTAATCTTCACCAGAAAGTGATGCTTTTGTAGAAGACTTGCAAAGTGACTTCCCCATCTCCATGTTAATTGCTTTTTAAAAAGTTTAAAAAAAAAAAAAAAAAGGAAAAAGAAAAAATAGAGAAAGCACAGCACTTTTGACGATTTGTGGAGTTTTTGGTATGTCTGTTCTTGACATGTTGGTTTATATACAAGCTATAGAAATTGATGTTTCTCACAGCTCCTACAAGGGTGATCTGTAAAGTGAACTGAAGCAAGTGTCTGATCCTGTTGAAATGCAATGACTTACTGACCTAACACTTCTCATAGCACTGCTTATGTTGTTCGGTGTGAGGGTTTTTGCTTCCAAACTACATCTTCCCTGAACGTGGTAAATCCTAGTGTCAAAATTAGAGAACCTCTTGGTAGTCTTGTGGAGGAAACTGCTATCTTTGAGCACTTTAAGGCTTTAAAAATACTTAACCAACTTGGCAGCTTGTTCTGATCGGGTCGTAACGTGTCCAATGGATCCACACTTTCCCTTGTACTGATGCACTTAATATAATAAGCATTGAGTTGATACCTGACTTCCTAGAAATAAGGAACAGCCTTACTGTGTAAGTTCTGTATTAGTATTTCACAAATAAAAAGTATTATGGCATTGGACTGCTTTTTCCATGTGTAGCTCCTGGGCACCCAGTTACTGTGGAAAAATCAGTGGCACGTGCTCCATGTGTAGAGTGTCAGCTATCAACAATTGTTTTTAAACAATCTTTCAATATTTCTGGATGTTTAACGTGTAATCTGTATTTGACTTTCACTCACCCCATTTATTACTGCCCTTTCCAGTCATCAAAAGGAAAAGTCCTGTCCCTTTTCCCTCTCCCTCCCCCACATTTAGAGTACAAGTTGGGTTTTGGTGCAACTTAAGCTGTCTCCAGATAACTTTATTTGTTCTAATCCTCACTGGGGTAGGAAAGATTTGAAACACTATGTTAGACTAGACAAAAGCAAAGATGCTGTGTTAGTTCTGGATGCATCTTTTTAATATCAATTATTACTCTTCTCTTTATAAGGGTCTCTAAAATATGTTACTCTATTATAAATCTTACTTTGTGCAATATTGTTTGTGTAGGCTTTTATATACATATTAGCACCTCAGTGTAGAGGTCACTATTTTAAACTGATAGAGAAATAATTCTCAGAAGATACTGCAGTGATTAGTTAGAACCTGTATTACTCCTTATGTGTATGTATGTATTGTCTTCGGTACAAAAAAATGAGGACTAGGAAATATTTCAATTTAAAACTAATTTACAGATTGAAGTGGTAGTGACTCGTTTAGTAATCTGTGTAAATAAGGTGTTAGAATGGAAAGCTTTTATGATGAGAAGTAAATGTGATTCATGCAGGGGTGTAATTTAATCTTAGCAGAAATTCTAGATGACTCAGCGCGGTTCCGAGACGAGCCGTCACTTCTCTGGTGGGTTTTTTTCCACTTTTTATGTTGAGAGGAATTTCATAGCTTTAAGGGTTGTGCAAAGTAAAATTCCTCACAGGCAATAGTGGTTTCAGTTCATCCTTCACATTCAGAGGTCGTGTTTCCTGAGGGTTGTTCTTTCCTTTTGACCGAGTCCGCGAGTCTTCCAAGTGCCCGTTCCACCCTTCCCGTGCTGCTCCTCGGCCCTGGCAGTGCAGCCACATCCTGAGGTGGCCCTTCCCTGACAGCCAGCACTGATCACTCAGGAACTGACAAACCTGCAGAGACCACCCTGAGTCTGCAAGCTTAACTTCAAAGGCAGAATAAACAGATTGAGCCCCCATTGACCCACTTGTCTCTTTTATTGGGGGAATTGAAGCAGAGTGAAGAAGGGAGTCCATTTGGAAACCCGCTGTAAATCCTAGTTGCACGTTTTCAAAGGAATGAGTTAAGACCAGAGTGGCTCATGTTACTTTCCAAACTGTAGCTTTAGTGAAATCTGTGAGAACAACCTGAAATACCTGGAAAATGCTCTGACTTCCTCTTGGGATGGAGGGACTTGACCAGTGGCATCCTGCTCTCTGTGCTCTGCTCAGTTACTAACCTAAAGCCTGATGTCAGATTAAAATGCACATTTAAAAAGGTATCTTTGGGCCATCTGAATGTTGCTGATGCATGTTTGGAAGATTCAGGGAGAGAGAGGGACTGTCTGAGAACCTCTTATTAATCCATGATCACCTCTGTTGTGCTTTAACCAGACTGACAGACTTTCCACCTCACCTCTGGATGTACAGTACAACAGGGAGTGCTTGGGAAGCTGATCACTGTCCAGCCATTGCACTGAAAACAGCAGAGCAGAGTCACAACAAGGCCCTGATGGCACTGGTGCAAATGCTTTCCAGAACAAGAGCTGTAGAACACTGATTTTAGTGAGCTGCAGCTGTTTAGAGATGAAGAAACGAGTTCAGTACTGTCTGAGCAGAACAAATCTCTGGGTAGGGCCAGGTAAATATTTCTGAATATCTCATGGTAAATAGCTGCTGTTTGAATTTCTCTCAGATTTCTTGAAGGGGTCTCCTTAGTGAGATAATCAAGGGTTGTTCTAAGACAGGCTGAGAAAGTTGGGGCTGCTCAGCCTGGAGAAGAGAAGGAGTGTGGAGACCTCACAGCACCTTCCAGGATCTGAAGGGACCTACAGGGAAAACAAAGAGGGACTTTTCACCAGGAACTGGAGTGACAGGACAAGGGAGAACGGGGACAAACTGAAAGGGGAAGTTCAGGTTAGTTATCAGGAAAAAGACTTCCCTGTGAGGGTGGTGAGACACTGGCACAGGTTGCCCAGGGAGGTTGGGGATGCCCCAACCCTGGAAGTGTCCAAGGCCAGCTTGGAGCAACCTGGGCTAGTGGGAGGTGGAACAAGATGAACTTTGAGGTCCCTTCCAAACCCTTTCGATTCTCTGGTTCTCAGTGGAACCCAGATAGATAACCCAGACAGATACAGTTCCTAAATATGAATGTGCTGGTCTGTTACTGTAAATCCTGGATTTTCATTTATGAGGGTCTGCTCTGTGATATGTGTCAGGTGATGGGTAGAAAATGCTCCTGTTTTATGTTGGAGACAGCTGGCACTGCCCCAGTGCTCTGTCCATGGAGGGATCAGCTCTGAGACACAGAACTGAGCTTGGGTCCTCATTTATTTAAAAGTGCTAGGGCCTAAAACGTTCTAGGGTTAAAGGCAGTGCTAGAAAGGGAGTGCAAGTGCAATTTAAAGCTGAAATGCCAGCTGGCTTTGGTTTCCTCTCTCCTCTAACCAAGCTCCAAGTCATTTTGTGCAGACACCTGACGTGTTCCCTTCGAGGAAGGGGGGGACACCCCCGGGGTGTTCCAGGGGATTTATAAGGAACGTTTCTCCCAGATGTAGATCCAGACAAAGGGCTCTGCTGTGCTCTGCCAGGTTGCACTTCAGTCCCCCTGGATGAGGCAAAGTGTCAGAGCTTTCCCCAGGCCCTTCCTCGGTCTGAATCCAGAGAAACTCTGGAGCTACAGTTCCCAGGAGTGCTGAGCCTTGGCAGCTCTGCGGGGGCGGGAGAGGAGGGGAAGGAGTGTTTGTTCTCCCCCCGAGCCTGTTCTGGACCTTCTTGTGCTGCCCAGGGCTGTGACCCACGCTCTGAGCAGCATCCAGGGCGCTCCGAGCATTCACACAACCCCCCTTTCCCCCCTCCCCCCCAATTTCTCTGTACAACATGTAAAGATACTCCTGTATTGCTGTTTGGTGACTTCATTGGATTTGATTGGCAGCTACGATTTTATTATATATTTTTTTTTCCTGTGGTTTTAATTTATCCGAGGTCTCTGCCTGCAGAGGACGTGTACAATTGCCTGGACGACTGTTTGCTTTGTGCGGCCTTAGTTGTATTTATTGCCCTGGGCTCGGCCCCCCCGCGCCGTCGGTAGCTGACTGTATCCACCCGCTGTCAAACTTGTTAAGCTATTTCTTTGTAAAATAGTCCCGGCGGAATGCATAGAAAAAAAAAAATTTTTTTTCCTGTAAAGTATTTTTTTAATAAACAAAAAAAGTCTTGATTTTTTTTGTCCTTTAAAAACCCGCCTGGGCCGATTCTTTCCTCTGTGGGTTGGGGAGGGGGATCGGCGCTCGGCTGGCGCTGCCTGGGCGGGTGTGTGGGATGGGGGGGCGGCAGGCGGAGCGAGTCGAGCGCCGGGTGGTTTCCAGGGTAACGGGGCCGGGGTCGGGAGCGGGGCCGGTATCGCGACAGGGCCGGTCCCGCCGCCCCCCCATGGCCTGTCGCGATGCCATTTCGTGGTACCAGAAGAAGGTGAGTGCGGCGCGGCGCGGGCGGGCGCGGGCCCGGCCGTGCTCTCAGCCTCCTCTCCCCGCAGATCGGGGCCTACGACCAGCAGATATGGGAGAAGGCCGTGGAGCAGACCCAGATGAAGGTACCGGCGGCGGGGGCCGGGGAGCGGGGCAGGCCCGGGCCCCTCGCCGCTGACCCGGCCGCGTGTCCCGCCCCGCAGGGCTTCAAGAACAAACCCAAGAAGAAGGGGCACATCCAGCCCGACCTCATCGACGTGGATCTGATCAGCGGTGAGCGGGGCCGGGTGTGGGGACGCGGCTCTGCGGCACCGAGGGGACGGCTGGAGCTGTGCCGGGGGGAGATAGGTGGGATATCAGGACCGGGCTCTTCTCCCAGAGGGTGGTCGGGCACTGGACAGGCTCCCCGGGGCGGTGGGCACAGCACCAAGGAGCGTTTGGACAACGCTCTGAGGGACAGGGTGGGATTTTGGGGGGTGTGTGCGGGGCCAGGAGCTGGGCTGGTTGATCCCTGTGGGTCACTCCCAGCTCGGGACATTCCATGGTCCTGTAAAGGCATCACAGCTTCGGGCAGGGCAGGGGAAGCAGAACCTGCCTGTGAGCCCTGGGGCAAAAGGGGTGTGGAAATCCCGAGAGCAGAGGCAGGAGGAGTGCAGGGGGGGTTCAGCAGAAGTGGGTGGTGGTGGTGGGAGCGGGTTTGGGTGGGCAGGGAAGTGCCCTGAGGTCAGACAAGAGGCTGCTTCAGCTGTGCCTGCTGGGGCTCTGGAGCTCGGGCAGGTGCCTGAAATGAGGCTGCCCAAAGGCGAACTCATCAGCGAGGGGACTCTTGTGATTCACAGTTAATGATGGCTTGTTTTTCCCTTTAATTCCAAGGCTCTACCTTCGCCAAAGCCAAGCCTGAAATTCCCTGGACGTCGCTAACACGGAAGGGCATTGTGAGAGTTGTGTTTTTCCCCTTGTTCAGCCAGTGGTGGATACAGGTCACTTCCCAGAGGATCTTCACGTGGCTCCTGGTGCTCTATGTTATGCAAGGTGAGGGGGGGAGCAGGCCGTGCCATAATCCTTGTTCTGCAAGGAACGTGATGCCAAAAAACGTGTGGAACAGGGACGTGGGGTAGGGGTGGACCTGGCAGTGCTGTGGGAATGGTTGGGCTCTGATCTCCAAGGGCTTTTCCAACCTCAGTGATTTTGTAGTCTGTAAGTTAAAGCATAGGGATCTATATCTGGAACCTACTTAATGTGCGTTTCAAGGTGTGTGGCACCAGCGTTTGCAGAAATTAAGTAATAACTATAAAACAAAGCAGGGTAAAAGTAAATAGTTAAGGCAGAAGAACTGGGTCGTGCTGGGCCATGGTTTGCTCTAATCCAAGATGCTCATCTTTGCCTGCATTTAGGGACCCTAAAATCCCTTTCTGCCTCAGCTGACAGGGCTTTGCCGGAGTAGAATCCCAGGCTGGTTTGGGTTGGGGGGGCCACCTCAAAGCTCCTCTCACCGCGTCCCCTCCTCCGCAGTGGTGGCGGTGCTGCTGTACCTGCTGGTGCCCGCCGGCAGTGCCAGCGAGGTGCTGTGCCCGCTGTGCCTGATGCTGCTGCTGGGGACGGTTCACTGCCAGATCGTGTCCACGCAGCTCAACAGACCCGCGGGCAGCAACGGGCTGAGCCGGCGCCGCAGGTGAGGGGCAGCAGGAGCGGGTGGGGGGAGTTTCTCCCCCTCGAGGTCGCTGCTACAAAGGTTTTCTCCTTGTTTTTTTTTGCCCGTTCCGCCTTTCCCGGTGGTGTCGTGGGGGGTGTGTGCAGAGCTTCTGCTCATCCGAATAGAACGTGTGTTAAATGATAAAATTCAGTGAAATAAATTAATGATACAGTGGTTAGAGAAGTATTAATAAAAGTGTGTAAAATTAAATTGAAATTAAATTAAAATTATAAAGATGTTAGAAAATTATTGTAAAATTAAGTAAATTATTATAATTTACAAGTAATGTGTAAATTGCAATATATCAATATTAAGTATAAATTGTAAATATTATAATTATATTAATTATTATATGAAGTATAGCTATATAAGATATAATACAATATATTAATAATTAATACAGTATTGTATATATTATACAATATAGTATATAATATATTAATATATAATAAGCTATATAGCATATAATATATTAATATATTAATATATAATAAAGCTATGTAGTATTACATTATTATATATTATATATTATATATTATATAATATTTTATATTATATTATATATAAATAATATAAATATATATTATAATATATTATAATATATATAAAATATATATTATAAAGCTATATAGTATTACAGTATTATATAATATTAATAATTATAACTATAATAGATTGTAAATAGATATTATAAATTTAGAAATTATTACTGTAAGTAATCAAGTACAAATTATTAGAAGTTATTAAGTAGAAATTATTATAAAATTAAAGTAACATTGAAGTAATAATTAAATTATAAAATTTCTTTAATCCAAATAATGCTTGTTTGTTTCGTGGCTCTGCATGACTTAAGAAAAAAAGCATCTAAAAAGCTGTTCAAATCTCATTCAGATCTTTTAAGAAACACCCAAAAGTCATTTAATATACAAATTTAATTGTCCTTTCCTTAAAACGCAGGAAATTACGCAAATCTGTGGGCGTGGATGGGAACAGTTGGTCTTCTGACAAAAGCAGCAAGGAAGAGCAGTCTGGCTCTGCCTCAGTCCTTACCAATTTATCCAGCCTGCTTTTCCAGAGGAGGTACGAGATCCCTGCTGGGTTGGTGGGGTTTGTGGTGACACTGGGGACAATTTGATACCTGACAGATGAAAACACAAAGTGTGTTGTCACTGGCTGCTCCTCAGCCTGCCAGCTGGCTCAGTTCTGAATTAGAGCTTTCCTCTCACTGCAGGAGGCTGGCTCCTCAGGAATATTTAGCATGTCCTTATTGGATCATGGAAAATTAGATCATGTAAACCCAAGCATTAGATGAGATGCAGAACGTGGTGGAGCTTATTTTTATTTATCAGAGAAGTGACCTTATTTGATTGTGTGCTGAAATGATATTGCTGTTTTACCTCATTTCCAGAAGTAATTGTGTCTTCTGGTTTAAGTTGCTTGGACAGTTGTCTCACTTTACCACCTTCCTTTTCTAAAAATAACTCAAGGAAGAGGAGAGATTGTATGGGATAATATTCCATTGTTTCCTTCTTTTTTCCTAAGTGAGTGTCTTGGTGAGTTTTCAGCTGGCAGGTCCTTTCTTTTCATGAGGACTTTTTGTCTTCTGAATTGCTCTTATTTATTTTTGCCAAAGACAGTGCTTTATCCCTCAGGTATCTTGTTTGATGCTGCACCTGTGTGGCAAGTGAAAGATGTTTTTACTCTAAAGCAGTTTTTCTCTGACATAAAAGTGTTTTATTGTGTTTTCTCTCGTAGGAACAGAAGAGTGAAGTTGGTAGCTGAGAAAGGGACCGAGACAGAGAGTGGTGTGAGTGTTGTGAGTGATGGCATTAAACCCAGACAGGCCAGATCTGAGCACAGGCTGCTGCACTCCAAAGAGAAAAGTAAACTCTCTGACGGGGAGAAGAGCCAGCAGGTACTGCCAGAGGAAATCCCTCTGGAGTCACAGTCTCAGTGTATTCTCTGTGTGCCCAGAAGTGTGTTGGTACTTAACTCTATGGTTTGATCTAACACAAGATGCTCCCTCCTCCTGCTGATCTTTAAGGGACCTAAAACCCATTTCTGCCTCTCATTCAACAGCTGACATGGTGCTGGTGCTTTGCTGTCAGCATTTTTTCATGGAATCCCAGATAGAATCCCAGACTGGTTTAGTGTTGGAAGGCACCTTAAAGCTCATCTCCTTCCACCCCCTGCCCTGGGCAGGGACCCCTTCCACTAGCCCAGGTTGCTTGACCAAGTCCATCACTCACAGACAGTCATGGAAATGTCTGTGTTCATTTAATTGTTGAGAATTCTGATCCAAAGATGTTCAGTTAAGGGAAAGTGCTGATAACGATTAAAAGTAAACAAATGGGCAATTTTCAAAAGCAGTTCTGTAAAATAATTGGCCTTGCAAACAGTTCCCCACAACATCCTTGCAGAGGGGAGGCAGGAAAGACGGAAAGAGCCCTTGGGGAGAGAGAAGGAGCTAAAGGATCATGACCTCTGTTGAAATCTCTGAAACACAGAGATCTGGGAAGTCACTTTTGAGGCTCCTCTGGGTTGGTGGTGTGTTAGCTCCCACATAAGGAACTTTGAATAGGATCTATGTGGAATTCTGTCATACTGTGCCATCCCAGCTCCTCTCTGGGAAGGCATTTGAAGAGGGGCAGAGCCCTGTGTAGAGGACACAGCCCAGAATTCCAGGTCTCTGAGCCACCAGCAGCCTTAAGCCCAGGAAAACACATGTAAGACACAGCCAAGAGCTGCTGTTGCCTCCTCCTCTTCCTGCCCTTGCCCCAAATCCACTTCCATCCACCCCGAATTCCCTCTCATATATTTGGGGCAAAACAAGGGGCGGAGAGGGGACAAGTTAAAATCTCTGATGATGCCGAGTGTGTGTTCTGTGGGGATTTGAGCCTTTGGTGTGACTCAGGCTGGCTTTGGCTGTGCCTTTTGCAGGATGAGGTCACCAACAGGGACGGCATTTCGGACGAGCTGTCGAGCGAGGAGGACGCCGAGGCCGTGGCACAAAGGGTGCTGTTACGCCGGAGCATGGAAGGGGCCTCCAGTGACAACAGCTACGAGGAGAAGAAAAAGAGGCCTCTGCCTTCTCTGAACCAGGCTGTCTCACAGGTACCCACGTGGAATTTGTGCCATTTCCCACGCTTTTGTTTTGCTATGGACAACGAGCTGGTTTTCCTTTGGTTTCGGCAGGTCAAGCAAGCCCTGAAAGGTGCCAGAGACTCCGACAGCGTGGTGGAATCGGAACTGGAATCCACGTTATATATTCAGGTATGGTCATAAAGTCAAGAGAGGGAGCTTTCCCGGGCCTGGCCAATGCAGGGACATCCTTCCTGTCACAGAATCATGGAATGGGTTGGGTTGGAAGGGACCTTAAAGCTCATCTCCTCCCACCCCCTCCTCCATCAGAACAGACCATTATTAAATGTTTGTGCTTCTGAATTTTCAGGTACAGGTTGTGACTTCCCTCCCTCCCTGTTCATTGGCAGCTTTGTAAACCTTGTTCAGAACTGTGCTGCTCTGTTAAACAAACCCCAGTCCAAGCTGCCTCTATTTGCTCCTGTTGGAATTGCTGCAATTGCTCTTGTTGTGGTTGGGAGGCAGTGCTGTGCTGTAGCTTTTGAGCTAGTAAATTTTGATTTTAAAATCATAGGATATTCTGAATTGAAAGAGACCCACAAGGATCACTGAGTCCATTTTCTATAATGAAGAAATAAGTAAATTCTGTGATATATACCCAGTCACTTCATTACTTTGTTTTTGCCTCTGCCACTTCCCCCACTTGAAAATAAAATAGAAATATGTGAATATCAGATTATAAATACGAAAATCTATAAATTAATATAAAATATAAATGAAATCTAATAACAGATTATGGAACAGGCAGAAAAGTTTTACATTTGAAGGAATAAGCCAGCTTTTATTTTGTGAGGTTGCGAATAAAGGTGGGGAACTGAAGGGGTCTGATGTAGAAATGCTTTTTCCCAAAACTACCCCTGAATAACACTGTCTTAAACTACTTCCATCGGGTGGGTGAAGCTGGGAATTCTCATTCCCCGGGGGAAAGCTGATCCACTGATTACTGGCAGGGAGGAGGAGGAGGTTTTATGTGTAAATTGTGCTGCTCTCCCAAGGACTCGAGGCCCTGCCTTGGGGTGGGGTCCCGGAGCTGCAGCGTGAGCCGGCGGGACTCGGAGAGCACCCGGCAGGACTCGGAGACCGAGGACATGCTGTGGGATGATCTCCTGCACGGCCCCGAGTGCCGCTCCTCCTGCACCAGCGACAGCGACGACGCGGCCCTCAGGGACCCCCGCAGGGACCTCAAGGAGGACGTTTTCCAGCAGGTTGGTTCAGTTGGATCCAGAGAATACTTTCCCCTTTCCCTCTCTGGTGCTTGGGAGTGCTCTCGGTGTAAGGTGAGCAACCCAAAAGCTGGGTGAGACCATTTTGTCAGTCAGAATCACATGGAAGTCTGGAGTGATCTAAACAGTATCATGATTAACTCCCTCCTCCCCACTGGTGTTATCTGCACCACTGCTCATCCCAAGCAAAAAATTCACCCGAATTTGGAATCCTCCCTCAGTCTAATTCAGGAAAAAGCATTATTTACTAGCAGGACAGAAGGAGAAGAACCCACCTTTTGCATTGCTCTCTCTCTTTTATAGAACCATTTGTTCTGGCTGCAGAACACCAGCCCAGCATCTGCCAAAGTGAGTGCTCTGATCTGGGAAGGGAACGACTGCAAGAAGGTGGACATGTCCGTGCTGGAGATCAGTGGGATTATCATGAGCAGGGTAAGGGGGCGTGGGTGGCACTGCAACCTCTCCCCCACTCTTTAGAAATCAAACCAAAGCCCCTGGAAATGGTTACACATGCAAATAACAGGTGCAGTACAAAACTGGGCCCTCCCCAGCTGCAAAGACAGTTGTTCCTAAAGTCTGCCTAACCCCCAGTTTATGAGGTCTGTTGAAGACTAATCAGCTGATGATTGCTGGTTTTCTCTGCAGTGTGCTGAGGGTGGGGGTTGATTATTTATTGGCTGGTTGTTGGTGGTTTTGGACTGAGATGGGTGGGATTATTTTAGGCTCTGTCCTGGGAAGGGAAGGGGAACTGACTGCTTGGCTGAGTTGCTGCTGCCAACAACAGGCCTTTTCCTTGAGGAAAACCCAGGTAATCATCCCATTTTTGTTCCTGCTTGCCAGGTGAATGCCTACCAGCAAGGAGTGGGGTATCAAATGCTGGGAAACATCATCACCATCGGGTTGGCGTTCCTGCCGTTCCTCTACAGACTCTTCCGCATGGATAACCTGGAGCAGCTCTGCTCCATTTCCCTCAAGGAGCTCCTGTACATCTTCTGTGGAGCCCCTGCCAGCGCCCCTGTCATTGTCCTGTCTGCCATCAACTTCCTGGAAAGGCTGTGCTTGACTTGGATGTTTTTCTTCATGATGTGTGTTGCTGAGAGAACCTACAAACAGGTGGGTTTGAAGGTCCTGGGGCAGGGACCAAACCCCCCCTGCTCCTGCAAAGACAAGCAGGTCTCAGCCAGCTGAGGGGTCAGAGCTGGTGTGGGGACCAAGGTCAGGGAGTCTGGGAATGCTCCTATTGATCAGTCACAGATGACACCTGTCAGGGTGTAATCTGACCCCTGCATCCCCCTCTTACCTGTCCCCAAAGTCTCACCCTGTCCCCTCTCTGTGCCCAGAGAAGCTGTGGCTGCCCCATCCCTGCAAGTGTCCAAGGCCAGGTTGGACAGGGCTTGGAGCAACCTGGGCTAGTGGAAGGTGTCCCTGCCCATGGCAGGGGGGTCTAGGTGAGCTTTAAGGTCCCTTCCAACCCAAATCAGTCTGGAATTCTATAAAAACAGCTGCTGTCACTTCCCAGAGAGGTCGAGAAACCAGGTCTCATATGGGGCTTCCCCAGTCACCCTTTCTGCCAGGTGCCCCTAACAATCCCAAGCAGTCTGATGTGTTTTAAGACTGATTTATGTCTCTGTGTGTCTGTTTTGTTTTTAACTGCAGAGGTTTTTGTTTGCCAAGCTTTTCAGCCACATCACATCTGCTCGGAAAGCCAGGAAATACGAAATTCCTCACTTCAGGCTCAAGAAGGTGGAGAACATCAAGATCTGGTTATCCCTTCGCTCCTACCTGAAGGTGAGTTCTGATGCAGGGTTTGGTTATTACAGAGGGTGTAACAGTTACAGCTGTCTGTGCTGAGTTTTGGCTTCACAGCTCCACCTCCTGCCCTCAGCCCTGACCCCATGTCCTTGTTCCCACAGAGACGAGGCCCCCAGAGGTCTGTGGATGTTGTCGTGTCCTCAGTCTTTTTACTGGCTCTTTCAATTGCTTTTATATGCTGTGCTCAGGTGAGGTTTTAACCTTTCTGGTTTTTACAAGAGGGGAAAACTCCCCAAGTGCTGGAGGCTTTTTTTTCGCCAACGTACAAAGAGCTTGACCTGGAGCTGTTTGACCCCAGAGTAATGTAGGGAATGCTGCATTTTTTAAAAGCTTTGTAATGTTTAGTTGGAAACAGAGATTCATTCTCTGTTTGCATGGGAAAATCTGGAGTTTTGTAATCATTAGGAAAACTACAGGACATGGGCATTGGGCACAAAGGAGAGAAGTGGGACAAGGAAAGGCACCTTATTCCCTGTTATTTGGTCAGAGGGAGGGCAGAGGAAGAACAAGTTTCCTTTTCTGATCTGAGCAGACAGAAAAAAATCAATTCCAAGCTAAAGCCAGGTTAGAAACAAGACCTTTTACTGTGACCTCATTACAGGAATGATTTACACTTCATGGAGGAACTGCCAGAGCACTGAGGGCTGGGCAGAGGAGGAGCGAGGGCAATGCTTGTGCACTTCTCCCAAGAACAGGCAACTTGTTACTGACATTGCTGCTTTTTTTTTTTTTTTCCCCAATACAGGTTCTTAAGGGCCACAAAACCTTCCTGAGTGCAGCTTACAACTGGGAGTTCCTGATGTGGGAGGCAGCACTTCTTCTGTTTTTACTACGTCTGGCATCCCTGGGCTCTGAAACCAACAAGAAATACAGTAACATTTCCATCTTGCTCACTGAGCAGGTGACTCCATTTAGCTTGTTCTCCCTTTGCCTTTGTTTGGATAGAATTACTGTATTTGAAACCAGCTTAAACACTAGAATCAAACATGAAAATTTAGAAATCCACCCTTGTGCTGGCCAGAAGGCAGCAAAGCTCTGGGCAGCAGGGGAGGGGAGAGCTGGTGATGCTGGGACAGGCTCAGATTCTGAAGTTCTAGATGGTTTTTGTCTCTGGGTGAGCCAAAACCACTGGAAAAAGAATGATGTTCTCAGTGCTAAATTCAGTTCTTCAGGAGTGACAGCAGACTGCAAAAATGGCTCTAATTTCCCTTGGTAATGACTCACTGGGGGGCTGGTGCTGGAATGTCAACACCTGGTCTGTGGTGTCTGTCACAGATAAACTTGTACCTGAAGATGGAGAAGAAGCCAAACAAGAAGGAGCAGCTGTCTCTGGTAAACAATGTCCTGAAACTGTCCACAAAGCTGCTGAAGGTGAGATACTCTGAACAGCTCAGGTTTATGGAAGTGGTGCCTAAAGGCAGTGCCATGTGGCTCTTGCTTAGGTAGGAGTTGGCTCTCCCTCACAAAGGGAGTTTTTCTGTGCTCCTACAGCTGTGACATGAGATGGAACAATACAAGAGCACTGTGGTTCATTAGTGCTGTGAACAGACTGTGGATTCTTTGGTGAATGGATTAATGGACTCTTTTCCTTGTCCTTCCACTGCAGGAACTGGATAGTCCCTTCAGGCTGTATGGACTGACCATGAACCCCCTGATCTACAACATCACACGGGTTGTCATCCTCTCTGCTGTCTCAGGAGTTATCAGTGACCTTCTAGGGTTCAATATCAGAGTAAGTGTCACTGTACAAACCAACAGCAACAGCTCTGGGGGCACCCAGAGAAGCTTTGCACTGGTAATTTAGAGTGTGCTGGGTGAGTCCCCACCTCCCTGAGCCCGTTCTGGAGGGAAGGACAGGCCTGACTCCACTTTCAGTTGTGTTCAGGTCAAGTTTTAGAATCCAGGGTTCCTTCCCTTTATCCCAGTCCTCCTGTGGCTCATCCTGCTGGAGCTCACTGAGCAGAGCAGGATGGGGAAGGGAGACAAGAGTCTCACCTGTGGATGCAGAACATTCAGCCCTAAGGCTGCCAGACCCAAACTCACTCTCTGTCTCTTTGCAGTTATGGAAAATTAAACCATGAACCGACAGAACCTCAGCCCTGGGCATCTCCACCAGAGAGAAGAGAACCTCAGGTGTGGGCAGAAAGCAGAAAACTGATGGCAGTCTGTAATTACAGCTTTCAAACAGATTCTCAGTGTATGTATCAGAAGTTTTCTTTCTGCTTTACCGTTCTACACCACCCAGAACCAACTGGTCTCATCAGTGAGCTCATCCCATGGCATGCACACAGAAAAACTGCATTAATGGGGCCAAATCCTGACAGCTGGCACTGACACCAGCAGGAACTGGTGTGGGACATCAAACCCTGAAGCCATAGAGGAGCTGCAGCTGGAGGGACACCGATGGCTGTGACTGGTGCCACGTTTCTGCAAAACCTGACTCCTGGGATGTGACAAGGAGGGAGTCAGCCCTCCCATCCCAGTCAGCCTTCCTGGAGCTACACTGGAATATTTCAGCTGGATCATCCTCAGCTGCACTGGTCTGGCTGTGCTGAGGAGAGTCTCAAATCCTCAAAAGCTCCACGTGCTTGAGGCTTTGCCTCTGTCCTGAACCACTGCAGGATGGGAATTCCACCTCGGGATGGGAACTCCACCCCTCCCTGCTGCCACTCCAGCAATACCAGAGTCCTGCTGTTGGCTCAGGCCGGGTCTGCTGCGAAGAAATGATGAGTATTTTTGTGAAAACATTAATTACAGGAGAAAAACCTCTCAACAAATACCACAAGGAAAGTGTTTATGAGCCGTAGAACATTTTTTTGCCAGGTCTGTTCCCTGGAACACTCAGCTCCATCCTGTCCTGCCTGAGAACAGCTTTGGCAAAGACCTCCTCAGGTTAATGTTTAGAAAGGGCAGAGGAGAGAAAGAAAACCTTTTAAAGCTTCTGTTACATTTCCCTTTACTGGCTCTATCAGCTTCTATTTATTAGTAATGAAAAGAGCAAAAACTGAGGAACTTTTCAGAGCTTCATTCTTTCACAGGAGGGTAAGATGGCAGAAGGATTTTTGGTAGTAAATTGTTTACAGCTATTTTCTGTACAAGGAAAAGTTGTGAGATGTAAAAGGAGATGACAGTTTTATATAGCAAAATGTACAAATAAACCTACAGGAGAAGTATTTCATCATTACCCACTGTTTCTTACAGGACTTGATGATTTTTGTACCACCTTTGTCGAGCATTTGCTATTTGAACAGGGGGAGGGGTCAAGGAAACTTCCAATAATAAACTGCATTTGTTTTCCAGAAGAACAGCATGTTTGTGGGCAAAACCTGGGGTCACACCCCTGAGAGCCACCCAAGAACCTGTTTTATGCAGTGCAGAACCAACAGGCCACGAACTGGAGTTTGTTTTTAATATCTATATAAAAAATAATGAGCGATTTACAGGTCTCTCTCTAGTCAGAACCTCAGAAGTCTGTATAAAGGTGCTGTACAATATATAAACATTTACACCCAGTACATCCATACATTGCTTAGCATTCCAAGGCCACATGGCTAAGTCTGATACAGGGAGTACAGATACAAGGTCTATGGAAGGAGAAATCACACACAGGTAAGACATTATCACATTAACAGAGAGAAAAAAACTCGAGGGGAGTTGATGGCAGGGGAGTCATTTCAGTGGTGCTAATTAATTCATCTGGAATTAAAGGTCTGGATCTGTCACTGTACTCAGTGGTCGGGGTGAGTGCACACAGCTCCACATGAACCACCCTCTGGGGAAGGGCACAGGGGGAATATCTACACAGGCTACTTCAGAGTATTAAATATTTCACAGTCAGACTCCACCCAGGGAGTATCTGTACGTTTTATGCTACACAGCAAACCTGGATGGATCGCCCGGGGCCGAGCAGCAGAGCAGTCAGAGCTGCTCCAAAGCCTTTTGAGTTCCCAAAGTCTCTGCTGAAAAGCTGGCTGAGCAGTCAGTCAGCTGTTCCTGGGAAGGATTCCACTCAGAACTGCCTCACTGTGCTTCATCAGCCTTTAAAAACATCCCATGTTTCAAAGCCAGAAGGAGGTATTTGCTCGTTCCGTTTCAAAGAGCAAATCCTATTAGTTTGGGTTTTGAGAGAGTAAAGCTCCATCCTTTGCTCCTCCTTCTCCTGCACACTGGACCAGCGGGCTCCTTTTACCATTAAAAACCTAAACATGTCAGGAAATCATCACTAAAACTAGGAATAAAATAAACCCCCTTCAGCTTCTGCTGTTCTTGCAGCTTTGGGACTGAGGTGTCAGTAGGTTCTGGTGGTCACAGCTCTCTGTAAAACATCTCTGCCAGCCCAAACCACGGACAGCGAAGTCTCCTGTACCCTCTGTGTCATCAACGCTCCTTGATCACACACTCCATGAAAATATGGGAGAGTTCTAATACACACAGTTAAAAACTTCACTGAAGAAGCTGCTCTGGCAGCTGGGTCTGTCTAAGGTCAGCTGTTACCTCTACAGAGGGAAAAAATCCAGTTCCTAACTAGCATTAATTAATCAAAGGTGGGACTTCAGTTATCAGCTCCACCCCAAGGCTGAGGATGTCGTGGTCCCACAAGTGAAACCAAAGGAATTATGTTATTTAACAGAACCCAGAATTTTCTCTCCTCACACAAGATGTCTGCAAACCAAATCCCTACGAATCAAGGAAATAAAGCAGTTCTGCTGCGTTCAGAAAAAGCAAAATTATATCAGATACCATTTTTATCCACAGGGTTTGGTATTGGGCACATCAACTGAGCAGCCTCAGTGGCTCCTTTGCTGCCCTGGAACCACTGACAGAACCAACTGGCCCCTGTCCTTCCTGACCTGGCAAGGACACGTGGGTTTCCTGATGTAAACACACACCACGCTCCGAGAAAACACCCACCTCAGCCCAAACCTGCCTTGCCTGCGACTGGAATCCACGGGGGGGAGGATCAGATTGACTGGATACAGTAGATAAACTTGGCACAAGAGCAGGAAGTGAGTCAGGATCACATTGGCAACAGAGGCATTAAATAACTTTGCTCAGAACTCACGACACTCGGAGAAGCCGCAGCAGTGCAACGTTGGGAGCAGCAGACGAGGGCCTGCACGGGGACACGGGGACAGCAGCTCATGGCAGAGGTTCACTGAAGCATCCAAAAGGTCCTTCATGCAGCTTAGATAATTTAAGAACAAATCAACCCCCTTTGCCCTCCCTCCAATCAGTTTCTGAGACCAAAAAAAAAAAAACCACAAAACAAAAAGAAGACAACTGTGTGAAAGGAACCAATGCTTTAAATGACCCTTGTTGGAAAACTGGTTAAAACGTGTTCTAAAAAACAAAACAGTGTCAGTCAGTCACACCCGTTTTCCAGCCACTCCTGCTGCTGGGGTGCCCTTCGTGGGGACCCTCCACGGCCCGGGAGTTATTGGCGCTTTCCTCCCCGGAGAACCCTCGGGGTGGGGAGTTGCGTCTTTGGTTTCGTGGGGCAGCTCCACGTGCCTCCCTCCGTGGGGTCTGCTCAGCGGGACAGTCTCCTGGGGTTCCCCCCTCCTCTGTTTCTCCATGGAAAGCAGTGGGATGTCGGACAGGCTGGAGGTTTTGAACCTGCTGGAAGTTGGCTCTCCAGAGCTGGACTTGGTTAACAGGTCGTCCTCGGAGGCGTTTCTCCTGCAGTCCCTCAAGGGAAGGTTGTTCCCCTCAAACGCTGGGTAGTGCCTCTCTGCAGACCACCCTTCCATCCTTCCTGCAGTTTTCTGCTTCGTGTCATTCCTGCTGACTCCTGGTTTACCAATCCCACCTTTCAGCTGCTCCCCAGCACCGCTTGTTCCGCCTTGGCTCCTTCCCACCGTTTCTGCACTTCCTGCCTTCCCGAGGTGCCCGTGGGGACTGGCTGACCTTCCTTGATTTCCACTGCAATGCTCTTTTTTGTCACTATTGTTCGTTCCTGTTCCTGTGGTTTTACTCTCACTCCCTCTGGGTCTGCCAGGTTTATGTGAGAGATTGTTCTTTTCGGGATCCCCTTTCCTGGGGCTGTGGAGTCCCCTGGGAGGGTGTCCCTCAGCAGCCCCTGCCTTTGCTGGACTGGCAGATCTGTCTCTTCTGGTCCCTGCTTCCGAAATACCTTTAGTGATTCCAAACCCAGGGCTGGAGGGACGTTCCCATCTGTTCTTTGTTCTCTGGGGAGGAGACTGAGGCTTCCTCTCGCTCTGGTTTTCAGGTAAAGTGCTTATCTTGTCAGGCACAGTGTTCTCTGCTTGTTCCAGTTCCTCAGACAGCTGAACTCTGGTTAAAGCTTCTCCTGGTACTGGTAAATAACACACTTCAGATGGGGAAGCAGAATGGGAAGATGAAGATAATGGTGACTGTTCTTCATATATTACATTTGACGAAGATGGATTGTAACTATCCCAATCACCTGGAAGTGAGCAGCGAGAGATTTGACTGAGTAACTACACAAAAAAAGTAATAACCACTAAATAGTTCACAATTTTAGCACCTCAGCAGCAAATTACCAAGTTCAATTTAAGAGAAAGATTATGGAGTGGCATATTCTCAAAGCCTTACTTAGTCAGATTTCGGTATTGAGTTTTTCTACAAGCTACAACAACCCTGAGGATGTGATTTTGTTAAAAAAAAAACCAAAAAACCAAAAACTAGTGCTCAGAATGCTGCCTGATCCCTGTAGGACTGACACGGTCCTGGATCAAAACAATTTTAGAGCCTACACAGCAAAACTGCAAAATAGAAAGTCCCTGACCTACATTGTTTAATACAAGAAAACGAAATGAACTGGAACTGCTATGCTAAAAGAAACCTGAAACAGTGAAAAGTCGAGGTTATTCATAGCTTTGCACTTAAATAATAGGAAGAGATGGAACACAAGACATGCAGATTTACCAAGTCTTTAAGGAAAAACCAAGAAAAGCACTGAAAGCCCTTAATGTTGCTCAGGTTTCACGTAGGGACACAGACTGGAAGGAGCCAAACCTGAAGGAGGAAGAGAAAAAGCCCAGAAGTACATACCAAAAAAAAATCACAGAGATCAGCAAGCAAGATTTCAACCAGAAATGTGGGATTAACAGCAAGGCAAGAGGCAACAAACCCTTCCCCACTGCAGCACTTCCCTCACATCCCACGCCCCGCTCTGGGCAGAGGGATGGTTGGGATGTGCTCCAGAGCTTCCCTCAGACTTTGGGTGATTCTCTGTTTCTCCCCCAAGCTCAGGGGGATTTCTGTGAACAAAAGGGCCAAATCCCTTTGGAGAACGAAGTTGTCCCTCTCCTGCTTCCTGAAGTTTTGGCTTTGAAAAAGAAAATTTAGAAGGCTAAAAACTGAAGTAGATCTGTACAGAAATCGTTTTTTAACATTACAAGCATTTTTAACTGAGTACTGCAGCATAGAGAATTTTAATTTAAATTAAAAGGCAATCAGGGTTAATCATTTTTATAGGGAAGCTTGATTAGCTTGGACAGAGCTGAGAAACTTATTAAAATATGGAATAAATTCACAGGGTTTAATATTCCTAAATACTCGTCATGTGTTAATTGTACCAAAAATATTCCTCATCCTTTAAAACAAATATTTCAATTTTCTATTTCTGTATTTTCATTTTTAATTTAATTCAATAATAAATAAACACTTGCACAGCTGTCACAAAAGGGAACTGCCAACTACTGCAGTGAACAAGCACCTGAACCTCTTTATCCCACTTTCCTCCCCTGCCTTGGACAAAACCAAGCAGCCCTTGAGACAACATACTGTGATCTGGAATCAATCCAGTCCCTGGTCTCAGCAGCAGCAAAACTTTATTCCCTCCAGCCTGAATCAGCTCAATGGCTCGTGTGTGAGTGATTCCTTGGGTGGGTTCTCCATTAATTTCCACTATTTGGTCACCAACCTGAGGAGAAAAGAGCAAGCAGGTGAGTCTCTCTGGGAATCTCTGACACTGTAAAGTGGTTTTCAGTTTGGAAAGAAAAAAAAATTAAATAACAGAGGCAGATGCTTCTGTTTTCCCTCCTGTGCTAAAAATCCACTCAGCAGTAGTGACACCATTCCAGGGTGATGAGCAGGATGTGGCCCAGGGTTCTATGTGGCACTGCCCAGAACAGCCAAGGGATGTCACTGCTGTGTAACGAGAGACTGTCTGGGCTTCCTGAAATAAACTCTGCCAAA